GGTTAAAAAAAAAAGAACAAATGTTGCAGATACAGCAGAATACAAAAACCGAAGGCACAAAATCTAGAGGCAAATCGTACAGACCTTATCGGCGTTATTCGTTTACATGAAACGGCCCAACTTGAACTTGAACGCTAACTGAACTAAAACTAAACGTGCAAGGTGCAAAATGTGCATAATGAAGGATGTTTAAGTGTAGAAGAGTCCCTTGTGACCTAACGCTTGATAGTTCGTGCAGACAACGAAAACAAAGAAAAAAACTACCAAGTAAAGATGCTAATACACATACCGCAATAACAACCAAGCTGGGATAAGCTCGTGTGTATCGACCACTTTGCTCAAACTGTTGTTATTCAAATTGAAATGTGCGACCAAAGCGTGCACAGGCATCCTTCACGAATCATACCATTGTGTAGAGATTTTCTTAGTCACATCAAAATTAAAGAAGCCGTTTAGACTTGATCCTGTTCTCAGTTGTTATGGATCTAGTTTTTTAATATCATCCTATTTAGTAAAATCGTGCCAATGGAACAAAAGTTAAATCAACAACACGTGCGTATCAACAATCGCCTAGCAAACTATAAAAGCCCCCACGCTTGATAAGTCATCAGGTTGTGCCTGGCAGGTAACATTCAACTTATTAAAAATAACAGGATTATTTGACTGGCTTAGTTTACTCGGATTTTAATTTTTTTCTGTTTGTGGCTCCATGCTCATTAGGACTCTTAGAGCGTAGTAGAGACGTGCTGATAGGGACTGTAACGAAAACGACTGAACTGGTGTGGCAGGCGCAGTGAAAAGATGTGGCAAAGCGCGCGCACATCCACGGTTTTGAGTTTGTAAACTTTATCAAGTGGCGAATACGATTATTACGTGACCGAATTGGAGTTTGCAGTTGAACGGTCGTATTATGTGGATTTTTGTGTCTGAGATGCCATTTCAATGGGGGTTTTTGTGATTTCATTGTGAGCCACAGAAACAGGCCATTACTAGGTTCATTTATGACACGTCCTGAGAATTGTTAAGATATCCATATCGAAAGTGTAATGTGAGGAAACAGATTAAGAAATTTAGGTCAGTCATTTTGAGCTAGTTGATGAAATAAAGAAGCAGATTGATCACAGAGCTGCTCAAGCGAGAGAGAGTTCGGGTTATCAGTCAATAATACTCAATTTCCCGCCATAACAATCAGCTGATCAATGACGTCAGCACCAGCTTGCTTCATTACCTTCTGTGACATCATAATCACTTCTCGCTTTGGTTTCCATCAGCAAGGAAGCAGATTCGTTTGGATGTGAGCTTGAATTTGGGAAGCTGATCTATATTATAACGTAAGAAGTTGAACAAATGACCAATAACGTCCAAACCTGTTGTTATAACAGTGGGCGAAAGTTCCGATGCGAGCCATGATGAGGAGCGCGAAAAATGGACCTCGAAAAATTATTTCATAGTGTCATGTATCGGTTATGCAGTCGGCGTGAGGAATATTTGGCGTTTTCCGTATCTTTGTTACAAGAACGGCGGAGGTAACTTCCTTAAGTGTGGATATCTATTACAACCCTTTTCTAGGAGTGTAGGTTAGGTTAACAAGACCACACTTTTTAGAGTTGCAAAGTTTTTGCAACTCAAAGAAGTTGTATTGTGACATGCAGTGTCTTCATCGTCCGCCTGTTTTAAATGGCTCTTTTACGATGTTCTGCTCTGAACTGCTCTCCGCTTTCCTTGTTGGAGAGTACGACATTGTACCATCTCTTGTTGACCAAGTCCTCTCGTTCTGTCTGATCTTCGTCAAAATATTGTAGCACTTGAAACACTTTATTTACTTGAAGAATAAATGCCTCTTACTAACCGAGTTCGAGGGCCGTACCGTAAGTTACGGACTGAGCTTTTTTCGTTCGGATTATGGCCTAAGCCCTAGGGGCGCGGGCCATAAAAAACAAAGTACCTTAACTTACAGTACGGACCGAAAAAAATGAGGTTGGCAAGATATTTATTATATCTCTTGATTCAAATGGAGGGGTTAACGATTTCAATTCCAGTGGAACTATCATTAATGATTGACGCGCGTCAAATCCTAAGTACAAGAGCATTTTATTGGTTTCCAACAAAAACTGGACATAGAGTCCTCAAATGCCCGAAATCTGCAAGGTACAACATGTTTCTTCGTAGAAAGTGCGTAGAAAGAGTGAAGGGCTAACTTTGTTCAATTTGAACGTCAAATGAATGAATGAATTTGATCAATGCGATCGAAAAAAAACACAAAGATCTTTTAAACGATTAGCATCCAATTTTTGGTGTTTTGCGGCGTTTTGATGGAAGCTTCCAGGTGAATCACTCAGTGCAGACTGAACAAGATTAAAGACACTGATGGAAATTTAGCCGATGTTTGTTGACGCGAAGAAAGAGGGGTGTGGTATCACTCGTTGCAGAGGAAAGAGGGATGTGGCATCGTTCAGAAGCTGAACCCACTTGGTAGGTTCAACTCCCAAAGCTGTCTGGTTCGTACTCGCCGCCATTTTGTTTGGAAACATCTTTAAGAACTTGCTAAGGACCTTGTCGAGAGCAGCAGCAGCTATGTTCATTACATAAAAATTTACATCGACCTGCTGTTCCCCAATACCCTTCAAACATTTTCTACTCGTATTTCGTATTTTCGCCTTTCGTGTTTGACGACCTTTCGGCGGCGATGAAATCATCTAGTTCTCGAGTCGAGTTGTCTTCGTCGTGCTCGTCTTTCTCCATTCGTCGTTTGTCTTCCTCCAGAATCTCGAAGAAACCAACTTGAAAGTCTGGGATATCTGCCTCTGAGTTTTGTTCTTTCTCTTGAAATGTGCTTCAAATTTTTCTTAGGGAGACATTTTGGCGATCCAATTGTGGGCCGTACAGTGAAATGCGGTCCGCTTACAATGCTCACAGTGACCTAGTAATGGAATATTTGAGTCGAAATCGTTTTACTTCAAAGAGACCTTTTCCGCTTCTTTTGTCATACTATTCAAATGTTGTAAATTTAGAGAACAATGGAACCTCACACCAGTTCATATTTGAGCAGGTACATTGTAAAGCTTTTTCGATTACATAGACGACTGCGTACCGCTTACGTTGATTACGCAGTTGTGTACGCTCGAGGTCAATTGTTGGCCTGACCTATTAATAAAGTCTACTGTGGAACCAAAACGCTGTCTTATCCTTGACGTCCGTAAAAGCTCGCTTGTAGAAGATCGCCGTGTACCAGAAAATCGTAACGAGTTTCCGTTCCCACTGCCGAGTTGTCTCTACGGAGCTATTTTTCCCCTATTGTTGTTGTGCCTCCCACGAGAGTTCAGTTCAATTGTGCGCGAAAACCTATCGTAACACAAGCTCTCAGCCTCTCGAATGTCAAAAGTTGTAGATTGATTTAACAAGTCAGCCTATCAAAGCTTCAAGGAAGTAGAGAGCCATAGAAACAACAGATAAACAGCAAAGCAACACAAATAGACAATCATTCTTTGAGAAGATAAGCAAGACTGTCAAAACATCTACAACTTGAAAGCCATAACCAATGCGAAAACGTTAGAGAAAGAAAGAAAGAAAGTAAGATTTCAAGAAGATGTTCAAGAAGACTCCTCTTTTCGAAAATGACACAGGAGAGAGTATGACCTGTTTCAAAGCTTGGAGAGAAATGTTTCAGAGCTCACAGAAAAGGATGAAGAATTTCAGAATGTATAAAAAATAACAGACTCATAACAACTAGGGCAAGAGAAAAATAAGTGTACAAGGGGAAAAAAATTTCTTGCATATCTAAGTGAAAGGCAAAGACTGTAGCATAAAGCAACTCGTAGACCAAAGAAAATAGCTGGAGTTCTCTTGCATGTCTTTGAAAAATGTAGGATTGTGGCAGAAAAAAAAAGACATTTGTTTTTCAGTAAGCCGATCTCATGGCGAGAATAAGTCCTTGTAAACAAGTTTACTTTAAGCCTATTGCTTGTGTAAATATCTTATCCTATTTTAACCTGCAAAGATAGAAACTCCTTCATTAAACATTGCAGTACTGAGGAAGTTAGGCGTTGTTCTGCCGTACGTACATGATAGAAAGTTTGCCATTTTGCCACTTTTGAGCGTATAAGCTTCGCCTCATTTCACTTGACGTACGTACATGTGTGAAGTAGGTGTGTGAAGTACCTCTGCAGTTTAATAGGCTTTGAAATACCTCTAGACTGACAAGGGGAACAAACCTCTGATAAAGTACACACATACAAACCTCTTTCGTCTTATAAATATGAGTGTGATTGGGTCGGCTCTTGCAATGACTGTGATCTCTTAGTTGTGCGAAGCCTTCCTTATCGTTAACCCACCTGCTAAGCGGGAATGTTTCGACTGCATTTCCCCTGGTTTGCGAGCTAAAATCAGTCCACACTTCTCTCTCCTTCTTCATATTACTCAAGCATATACATATATGTTATTCACCAGACGGGAGGTCCGTAGTGGGAAAAACTGTGCCCAAGGCCTCGGGCGGTATCCAAGACCTCGGGCACAGTTTTTCCCAATACGGACCAACCTTAGCTGGTAAATAACATTTTTATTTTTTTTCTAAAACCTAACAAATGGTTGCGAAAAGAACCTGAATGATAAAGGGCTGTAATAACGACAAGATTCTTCATAAACGGAACAATTTATGAGCGAGTAGATAGTAGAGAAAACAAGGGCAATGCAAATGAAAGAGAGAGGTTTCATCCAAACATATCTATATGCGTAATGATATTAAAAGGTGATTTAAAAGGCTTCCAAGAAAACTTCGAAACTTTTTTTGAAAGGATCGGATACCGCCTGCTGTGAGCGGGCCGGATGGAGAGAATACTGCCCGCTCTTGGAACCAATCAGATCGCAGGATTTGTAAATAACCATGAATACTGAGTTTTGACTTTTTTTTACCTCAAGCGTCTACTCTAGGCTCGCTGACCAAGAGATTCGGGGGCTCTAAAACTATAAAGCTACGTACTGCACATGCGCAACGTAGCGATCAAGTCAAAAACAAATATGACGACGGTCCTACGAGATGGCTTGGCTGTTTCAAGGAATGCTGCTAAGCTGTGGTTTAGAAGAAGTATTCAAAATATCAGACCAACACAGAGATTTTACAGTGGAGCTATTCCAGCGTTGACGTTTCCTCGAAGTAACTGGTCTTCTTCTAGGATTCCGTTTGTTGGAGGTACCTCAAAAAAATTATTACAACGATAACTCTTGTAGCCTGAGTTAAAGGGTTTCAATTTTTATTTTAAAGAGTTGAACAGAGCGATCCAGAACAGCTATAATAAGTAGTATGTACTTTTTTAATGACGATTTCGCTTTACGTGCATTGTTTAAGTCTTTATCTCGCGCAATCTTACGAAATTAGCACGTAAGGTTACGTGGTTCTTTACATTCATTTTGAACTCACTGGCGATCCTTGCAATCTGAATGGCTCTCACTGGTACGATCTACTCACGAATTACACCAGTTTTAACTCTAAGTCACATATTTTCCTTGTCAATGAGAGGCCTTTACTAAAACACAACAACCAATCAGATTTCCAAGCTTGTTTAAAGATATCAATAAAGTTACAAGAAAATTAAAGACAACTTTTTCCATTTATTTTACAAATCAGCTAAATAAACTATTGATTCTGTATTTGATTGACTGAATTTTCAATTTCAAAATGGATGTAATACAGTGGTAATTCAAACTTCCTCTCTCTCCCCCGTCCCAAATGCATGAAATGTCAAATTCATCCCTGTCTTTCATAGTGGGAATCTTTGAAGATTGCATCTAAGGGGGTGAAAATTGTACAAATCAGCTAAATAAACTATTGATTCTGTATTTGATTGACTGAATTTTGCAATTTCAAAATGGATGTAATACAGTGGTAATTCAAACTCCCTCTCTCCCCCATCCCAAATGCATGAAATGCCAAATTCATCCCTCTCTTTCATTGTGGGGAAACTTTGAAGATTGCATTTAAGGGGGTGAAAATTGTGTTGGCTTGTATGAATAAATGTTCTGTAGGACATGCCATCATTATTCAAGAGTGTGTGTAAACATCTACAGTCACCTTGTCCCTTCAAATTTCATGTTTATGCAAGTGTCAGACCTTACTAGTGCTTTAATTGATGGGATCAAAAAAACAGGCATCAAAACAGTTCAGTTTCATGAGCCTGTGGGAAAAAAAGAAAAAAAAAGCCTGTGGAAAAAAAAAAATCCTATCAGGAGATGAACATGATGGCTTATTCATTACACACAATTGTTATATTCTGACAGGTGGTGTGAGAACAATGTTCATTCAGGTACAAGAAACACCAAATCCTAACAGTATGAAGTTTGTTCCTGGGGTGCAGGTCTTAGAGCATGGTACAGTTAACTTTGCCAGTGCACAGTCTGCATATCCTTCACCTTTAGCAAGGTAATAGTTATGTCTTATTGGAACCTTTGCTCTAATTGTTTCTAATTACATTTAACAATTAATTGTCTGTGGCAAATTATTGTTCTGACATAATTGCATAAGTGCTTTCAAATTCTGTCAAAAATTTGTTTTTGTCGCAGAAACTGTTCTCTTACCATTGTTTTGATCACTTTTATCAAAATAAGCAGCCAATTTTCCACAGGTCTATTCAATTCAATCAGCAAAAACTTCACATCTGTAAGTTTCTTTTAAAAAGTGTTCTTCCAAACTTTGGTAGCATTTTTTTGTGCTCAAAGGAATTGACTAGAGCATATGCTTCCCTATAATTACCAGAGCAATTACAACAAAAATGAATGTAGATTTTAAATTGAGTTTGAAATTTATTACACAAGCTCTGCTTTACTTCTTTTTGTGACTGATTTGTTAACTCCACTCGCCTTTTTTGAAATGAGAAATAACTGAAACTTTTGGCTGTTCATCAGCTCCTTGCAATTGTCTCATGTTATGTATTTTGTTGTGATAACTATGGTTTGGGTTTTACGATGCTCAGAGTGAATGAAGTCAACACTCGTGAAGGTAATCCCCATCTTTTGAAAATAGTGAAATCTAGAAAAGGTACAAATTGAAGTAAGGGAATAGCTGCACATGGTATTGAACCTTCTTATATCAAATTTGAAAGTAGGCACTTACTGGCTCTTCTATGCTTATACTTTATGAATACCTCTTGTACTTCATGGTTCAATTTTCTTGCTGGGGTTGCTCTGAACTCTGTCTGTGTGATAAATAGATTCTTCCCTGCTGTGTTATTTCAGCAGTGGACTGCATGTGGTGTATAATGTGGTGCAACAACTAAGGGAGAGTTTTAGCCAGGTGACAGTGATTAGCATCCAATTTCTCCTAACAATGGAACCCCTGAATCACACATTAAAGTTACAAGAGTAAAGGAAGTGATCAGCTACTAAAGTTGTTGCTTGTTAAAGAAACTCTCAATGTCAGCCTCTAAGGAAATATGCAGGGAACAATTTGGAGAATGTGTATATTGATGTTAGGTTGAAGAGGGTTTATGATGTTCTTTCTGTAACTCATCATCTGATATAATCCATCATTAAACAGATACATTTTAACATGACTGTATACCTTAATATGATTTAGTGACTGAATTGCTGTGGAACTTTTGATCTTCATGTGAATGTAGAAATGTGTCAGGAATGTCATAATGGACATTTCCATTTCATTTTTTTGCAGAAATTTATTTAGGATAGATGGTGTGACTGGAGTCATGTTAGGACCAGATTTCATCACAGTTACAAAGGTTGGTGGGGTAATTATTTTTAGGACTTAAATAAGACTCAAAAATGAGATTGGAAGAAAAATGGTGAAAATGTCCTGTCTGCCTAAGTCATGCAATAGTGATGAAAGACATTAAACTCAATCCTTGTACATGAAAAAAAAAACAACAACAACAACAGCAACTACAACAATTCCTTAACATAAGCTGTGAAATTCTGCCTAAACTCCTTTCAAAATGTTTATGCAACAATTTGAAATGAATCCAGTCACCTGATGTAAGAATAATTGTGTTCTGTCGTCTGTTTACATTTTTTAGTCTTTAATTCCAGAAAGATGATGATGATGTTAACTGGCCTGTCTTAAAACCTGATATATTTGCCTCCATAATGGACTTCTTTGCAAGCAATATTCCCATTCTTACTGAAAACCAGCCAGCAAGTGATACAGGTAGGCTGTTACACGAACATCAAAAATCTTATTTTTCTGTAATAATGAACTTGGATTTAAACATTTTGACCCCTCAGAGTGACCAGCACCTAATTTCTCCCTACAATATCAACACATTTATCCCTTTAACTCCCAGAAGTGACTAACATGTAATTTCTCCCTATAATACCTATATGTTTTCTAGCAAACAGTTAATGAGAATACTCAATCATCAAGAAGTTTTTATCTTGATCTTACACCAAATTCTCATAACTGGTTTGCAAGGAATTGATCAGCAGCAAGAAGAGAGAATTGACAGTCAAGATCTTGGGAGTTAAAGGGTTATGTTTCAAGAAGGAAGGAAATGGTCATCACCTAAAGAAGCTGTCACTTTGCAAATTCTTCTTGTCGGTACCTCAGGAAATTTATAGCAAACAGTAATGAGAATATGCATGCTGATGATAGGGTGTAAAGGGTTAAAGGTTAGATTGCTCTTGAAAGAGAAAATTCTACATGTTCACTAGTACACATGCCTTGCAAGCCTTGTTAAATACTGTGTACATTTGAAAAGCCTTAAACCTGTCAGAATTACAGGCAATCTTAATAGTTTTACCAACAAGTGCCAAACTATGTGTAGACCAGATGTAGCCCTGAAAGTTTGTCAGTGCTCAGTACTACATGTTATTATTTTTCAGCTATTGATGAAGATGATGATGAAACTGTTGCTATGATCAAAGAGTTGTTAGACACAAGAATAAGGTAAATGCACCAGACCTTTTCAAGATTTTCCATGTTGAAATGGCCACCTTAAAACAAATTGCAGTCAAACCTTGATTATCCACACTTGTGGAGACTGGGCTTAACAGCCCAGATAGTTGAGATTCTGGATAATCAAAAATATTAAATAAATATAAATGTTTGTAGATAATTGGACCAGACAGGCAAGTCCAGATAATCAAAAAATTTTGGATAATCAAAGTTTGGATAGGGAAGGTTTGACCGTAGGCAATAGCTGTTTCATCATGATACAAGGTATTTACTAAAACTCAATTCTGGGGTGATGGCCCATTTCTTGTTTTTTTTCTTGTTTTTTTTGTGAGTGCTACAGTGCTACACTTGATTCATCAAAATTCATTGTATTTTCTTGTCACTGACTTCTAACAGACCAACCGTTCAAGAAGATGGAGGGGACATCATTTTCAAGGTTTGTCAACAGATGTGTATGTATGTGGTTCATAGTGGGGGGTGAGATTAATTTTTAAAAGGCCTGTGGTTGGAAACAGTGCCTAGCTCTGTGACAATCTTACCTAGGGGTTTCTAGTTAGGACCCTTTGGCAGGCCAACTATAATATGCTGGGGTTGGGAACCCTGTAATGAATTTTCTAGCATGGTAACTTGTATGTTGTGCTCTCCACAGGGATTCCAAGATGGCATTGTAAAGCTTAAACTACAGGTCAGTGTCATGTGAAGTTAAGATTTTTTCCTATTTAGATGGAAACGGTGATTGCTGCATTAACTAACATGTATTCAATCCTGTTACATGATAATTATATTCCATGCACATATATAATTTTCATATATCTACAATCATTATTCATCACTTGGATGGTTTATTTGGACTCAACTCAATGACCAGCTCCCAGTTGGCTTGCTAGCTCAGTTGGTAGAGCACGGCACCAGTATCGTAGAGGTCATAGGTTCAAATCCTGTAAGGGCCTGAATTTTTTTCAGGTCTTGTTTCAACTACTAGTTCAGTAGTGTTTATAGCTGCAAGGATCTCTTATATTCGTTTCTTCACTGCAGTGCACATATATGATTTTCATATATCTACAATCATTATTCATCACTTGGATGGTTTAATTGGACCCAACTTAATGACCAGCTCCCAGTTGGCTTGTTAGCTCAGTTGGTAGAGCGCTGAAACCCGGTATGGCAGAGGTCATAGGTTCAAATCCGTGCGGGCCTAAAATTTTTTCAGGTCTTTTTTTTTATTAACAAATTCATGTTGGTATCCTACTAGGGAGCATGCTCCAGCTGTCCAAGTTCAATGGTTACTTTGAAGAATGGCATCGAAAATATGATGCAGTTTTATGTCCCAGAGGTGGTTGCAGTAGAACAGGTAACCAAAATTACATTTTGTCTTATTTTAAGGTTAGTAAATGGTCTGGAAAACCACTGTGAGGCCAGGGAGCACTTTGCAGTCTCAGCCTGCGGGAGACACCCGAGTTTCAGGTTACCCCTGCCCAGCCTGCCCTGTCGGACCAGACAGCTCCGGCCGGTACTAATTGCTACACCAAATTTTTCTCCTTTTTTGGTGCATAGATAGCGCTTTTGAAACACTATTAGTCTTGACAGGGCTGGAAACAGGAGGAAGTGTACCTAGATTAATTTGTTCATCTCTGGTAGATTTAAGTGAGTTCTCCTCTCCGTGGTTGTCGTTAGTGAGGTCAGGACTTTTTGCGCAATATACTCTCACTCCCCTCTCCACCTCCCTTCATCAGCAACAACAACAAGTAAATAAATAAATGGACAAGCGAATGATATCAATGAAAAAATATACGTATAGTATGAGACAGAATCACATAGGTAGAAAGGACATTTTTTTTTCTTTTTACTTGCTGCTCTTTGACGGGTGGTCATATTCCCATATGAGCTCTTGTCTTTGTCCGTACAGGTCGAGGATGAAGTGGATGAAATAAATAAAACGGAATTTAGTAAACTTGAAGCGAGACTTGAAGAAACAAGTACACCAGTGGAGGGGAACCCGAACACTACAGCGGAAAAAGACTGACATTTCAGGACAAGGTCATCTTGTCAAGTCACTCAAGGAGAACAGTTCGCAATACCCTGTTAGCTCGGTGTTTATCGGCATTACTCTCCTCCTGAGAACCGTTACATAGGGAGTTCTAGCTTTCATGTGGCTCGTCGCTATCTTTGATAAGACTGGATTCTCCAGAGGTTAATCTTTTCTATTTTTTTTTCTTTTTATGGGAATAGGGGGAGGAAAGACGTTGACGAGTAGAAATTCAAAGCAGATGTCAGGTTCAGTTTGATGTTTGTGCGAGGTTTTCTAGAAAACCGTTTCTTGCACCTTTAGAGGAGTATCTGCATTTATCAAGGGAATGGCGCCCTAACATATTCTTGGAAAATTGAATGTTTCAATTCTTTGTTTTAAGTTAAAATAAGCGAAGAGAACTGTCGCAGAGTACCTTGACCAAGAGGAGTTAAAATAATTTTGGTCTCTTCATGTTGCTTAACCCTTTAATTCTTATGAGTGATCAAGACAGAATTTCTCCTTACAATACCAGTAGAATATCAGGCAGACAAGAGATGAGAATATAGAAAATATTAAGTAGGGGATTGTTAGTTGATCCAATACCAAATTCTCTAAACTCATCACAATAATTGCATGGCAGACAGTAAAGAGAATTACTAGTGAGATCTTAGGAGTGAAAGGTTAACCCCTTTTTCCTCTTCAAGTGAACACGAAACTTGACGGGTTCAGCAGCGAGATGCTGATAAGAGAAGGTTATAGCTTTCATTGTGATTTCCTTGCGCGTAACGTCTCACCCTCACCCTCCCCTTCCCCCCAACAAGTTTCCCACCCACTCAATCCCCCATTTGATGCTGGACTCAAAGCCACACCGATCAGGCACTAATATAAACTTGTTGCAACCAAATGAGACAGACAGAAAAATTGCATTGTAACCATGAATATAATGGTCGAAGTCTTAAAATTAACGTTATAAGAAAGGAGCAAACAATCCGGCGGAATTGTTAGCATTAAAAAGTCCCTTCACTAGTTTCTCTTTAGTTCATCAATACGTCTCAGTTAATCACTATGAGCTATCATGGCAGAAGCGTGGACATGTAACAGTTTGGAGCAAAACTTCTCTTTGGGAATTGTCACTAGGAAAACTAACTGTCGTGGATCTTAAATTTAGCTACTAGCTCAATATTGACCGTTAAATTTTATAGTTCAGCGCGCCTCCATAATTGCTGAATTCTAATGAGTACTGCTGTTAATTATTGATTGTTCCTCACAAGCTGTAGGAGTGAACATGGGTAATTAAAGTGATTTTCAACTCAGACATGGTGTAGCCATGCACAGTATCTGGCGCAAAGGTGAAATAAATTTCATTTAGTTCCTTGAATTCAATATTTCCGATGTTGATCGTAAAAATTTTATAGTTCAGCGCGCCTCCCTAATCGCCGAATTCTAATGAGTACTGTTATATATTCTTACTGATTGTTCCTCTCAAGCTGTAGAAGAGAACGTGGCCAATCAAAGTGATTTTCAACTCATACAGGTGTAGCCAACCATAGTGTTTGGCACAAAGGTGAAATAAATTTCAACCAGTTCGTTGAATTCAATATTTTCGTGCACCGCTCTTCGTGCCGCAAACGCTTCAGATAATCCAATATTTATCGAACCCTTCAAACAGATATAAAGATGAGTAACATTTCAATTAATGACTAATTTTGAGAACTTTCTCATATATAGTAGTTCAAAATTCCACAAATTTGGACGAGTTTAGGCGTTAGCAATAATCATGCATGAGTTGTGAATTAGGTCCAAAGCTGTCATGATTGTTTGTTTTTCTAGACAAAGCTAATCTGTTATTTACTGAACCGTAGCTATGTGCCCTGAGTGCATTATCTTGCTGCAGCGAATCAGAAAAGAGTCATAACTGTAAAGAACCACCCCTTTTTTGCTTATTTAGAGGTTTGCAAATTAAGAACCGTGTCATTCATCCATCGCTTTGGAAAGAGATCTTTGAACCTGAAACGATTTGTACAAAACTCCTTAAATTCATTTGCCGGAGATGTGGAAAATCGGGTTTTTTGTCACCCTGCTTCTGATCGCGGTTGTATCTGCTAAACCTAACCTGGGTCACGTTCGAGATTCATCAGGTAGGTGTTTTTCCTTACTGCGCGCGCGCGCTTTCAGGACCTAATTATTTTCAAGCAGCACGGTCAATTATGTTTTTAAGAGAGATCAACTGGTAGGTGGAAGTGCGCGAGACTGAAAAAAACATCAAATGAAACTTTTCTTTACAGTAAAATTTAACTCACTTCCACCTATTTGATACTCACTTTTACGATGTGAATCTCCCAGTGCACCTTTTGGATCAAACTAAACAGTCAACGACATCACAGATAAATTTTCGTTTAATTGGATTGGGTCAAAAAGCTTTCATCTGGTCAGACTCTTACAGCTACAGTGTAAATTGACTAACACTGCTTCGTTTGATCCAGTCGGACAGAAAGCTTACTGCAATAACAATCAGTTTTAGAGAATTTATGGGACTTTGAGCTCCAAAGAGTCGTCTAGACTACGCGCCAATTTTTTTTTTATTTGTTGTTTTTTTGGACAAAGCTAAAGGTCAATTGCTGAGCAAGTAAGTCTCCATAGTTCTCTTTTATTTACCTCAAAAAAGCAAAGAAAAAAGAATAATAAGACAAGAAAACTTCACGATCAAACCAAAATCTCACACTTCCCAAATTAAGGCAATTACGGCTTCCGCTCAAAGAAGGTTTAATTTGACACCTTCAAACAATCCTGATGGTTAAGTAAGTACTTTTCTTTTCCCTTCAAAGACACCACAAGGCGAGGTTATAAATATGGCGTGGAAAATCCAGAGTCCCTGATGTGGGAAAGAGGATTGATTCCACAGTATGAAGGTGCGTACCATTTTAGAATACAAAAAGAAAACCGTTGTACATTAACATTTCTCATTCGTTGCGCGCCTGACCAAACTTCTACAATTTATGTAAAGTTGGGCGCCAAACCCTGCAATAATTATGCTAGAAATGAAGAATAATATTCGCCCTGCTTCTTACGGGTGAATGAATATCCGGCGGGGCTAAGATGACCGCGTAAAAGTAATTAAAATATATAAAACAATGTTAATACCTTTAAAAATATATATTCAATTATGTATTAATTTAAGTCTTCTCAAAAAGGCGCCAAAACCTGTTGATTTTGAAACGCCAAATTCGTCAGTGCTAAGTCATGCAAACAAACCAGTTGAGTTTCTAAGATTGTGCCACTCCTTGTCGATCCTTCCTCTCAGGACGTTTTGATAAGCTTTTGGAGAAAAGATGTAGAACAGATCGCTTCATTTCATAACCACAACTGGTCATAACTGGAAACCGTGGACAAGCAGAGTCACCTCGTGGAATGTCCACTGCTAAATCCTTTCATTTATTGCCGGTTTTCATTGTCACACCCTCATCAAAACCATTAAACAAATAAATTCAAGATGAATATTCAAATAGTCTAGCAACGATTTAGGTCTGTGCGATGTTTTGTACGGGAGATATTGGAAGAAATGTTTCATTCAAATTTACAAAGCTTTGTATGCAGATGACATGTTTGTGTTCCTCTCAGGGTCACTAATGCGGCGGCCAGAAGCTAACAAAAACATATGTTATCGATTTTTGCGATAAAAAGCCTGTAGTCGTCTTCTGAGGGCTCATGAACATCTATATAAGTACTTTTTCCCATGCAAGTTCAGATTTTGTAATCTCTGCGGATAAGTCACTTTGTTCAACGTATATGACAGCATTCTCGGCCACCATTGTCATGTCGTGTCACGCAAAAGCCTAGAAATTCAATCTTGCCTTATCACAAGACGATAATCCCTATCAAACTGAAATTGTGGAAAAAAGATAAGTCTTTAGCTGTTCTAATAATTAACTAAACTAATATCTCAAAAGGATTGATAATTCCTTATTTTTTAATTTTGATGACGTCACGTGAAAACCAAGACTTGTTTATTTTATAACCTACTGCAAAACACTGAGGGTGGCAAAGGCGATCCTGATGTCATTTCACATACGAATGTTTTAGAAAAAGAAGAAAAGTATTGAATTTGGATGGAGAAATGTGAGAAATGAAAAATGTTCCCAGAACTTTCAAAGACTACTCTTAAGTGAGATGGAGAGTTAAACAGTTTCCCGATATTTTGCCGACTCCATTCCGTACAACTGATACAAGAAACGCGGTAAGACTTATAAGTCACATGATTCCAGTAAGTAATCCGATAACAAGAAGCTACAAAACGCGTGCAAAATCCAATTTTCAGTACTAAATAACGGATTCTTCACACTCTATTGTAGACGATCCAGATGTGTATAGAGACACCGCTTGGTTTTTGGACAAAATCATAATGGATGAAGGTAAGTGAGTGCTTGAGATTCAATTTAAACCCTCATCCGACATACACTTCCCTAGATATCTTTCAGTCACCTTCGTCAATTTTCTTTTCCTCATATCACGAATTTTACTTCGATTTTGCAGCTGAAGTAGTTCACGAGCCTGTTCCACCAGAGGTGAAGTACCGCTTTGGATCAGGAAAAAAGCAAAAGGTAAAATTGTTTGCGACGGGTTCGTCTGTATTTCACCGCAACAAATACAAATAGAGTTTAAAGAAAAGCAATAACAGGTTATTAGTTTATTTACAGTCGTGTGCTTTGTGACCAAGCCATCGAACAGAAGTGGTACAAAAAATGACCATGCTGTTGTTCTTATTTTGTCATTACTGCTGTTTGCTTTTTGTTGTTGTTGTTGTTGTTGTAGTTTTCTTTTTTCGTGTTCTGTACTTGTCCCAGGGACACATTACCCAGCATGCTTAGTAGTCTTCCTTTATTAACCAAGCGGTAGATATGTTACTAAGAAAGGTTACTATTAAGGCGCGGCTCCTTTTTTCGTCTACTCTCTTTCGCTTCATGAAATTCCCTCATCCCTAAACCTTCGATAGCTTTGAGGAAACGAAAACAACTGCTCCGCAGGGAACACATTCCAATCAACATTTATGATTCACCGTGCAATTTTTATTTCTATGTGAAAACTAGTGCGTCGAGGGAGTAAAGATCATACCACCACAGTGCCAGTGGAAGGGCATGGTGATAATGAAAGAGAAGGAGGAGGAGCCAGCTAAACCTGCTGAAGTTGAAGAGATTACTCTTACAGTTTCGGCAAAATACTGTAATCAAGTTGGGATGAAAAAGCCGAAGCCCAAAGTGGTTGACTGTGAAGAATGAATGTTTTAATGGCCTACGGAAAGTTCATAGTTTTACAGAAACAAAAGGTCTAGGAACATTCTGATTTTTTTTCCTTTAAAAGATAAACGGAGGTTACGATTAAGGGAAAGTTGAGAGGATATGGTGTGGCGTGTCTGTATAATCGTGAATTTCGGAGTTTTCGAGTGGGAAATTCAGTTTTCTGTCTTTACCCCCATTCGTTTCTTTTTCGTTGCTGTTGTTATGACCTCAACTCAGCTAAAGCCTTCACGCTTTTAATGGTTTGGTAAATCTTGCTTAGTTTTGATTAATGTATTTGCAGAGAAAAACGATCAGAACTACTTAGGGCTTTGTAAATGGTTACAAAATTGTAGACGAGCCCCTGAACAAGCTAATGTGATTGTGATAATAAATGACTCAACAACTGTTCCTAATTTCAAGTTGTTTTGCCGTTTTTTACGTCTTATTCAAAGAAAATCGTTCTCCAATTGAATTGAGCTTCTTCAGCTTCACTACATAACAGACAGCTCAAACATTGAACCAATCACTGATTAGAATGGAAGCCAGAAATTAAAACAAAAGAGGGGAAATCTGGGTGGGAACCAGGCCTAAGCTACTACAGCCATCCTACCGTCTTCCGAGTCCTCGTACGCACCAAAAAATTAAAACTTTAATTCTTATTACACTAAACCTTCCTTAGCGATTTTACCACGTCCCTTATGACTCTCAGTCGGCTTTAAGGATCAGTGACATTTTCAATTTATCTTCACATTTCACACAAACAGTAGCATCCACGTAAATAGCCCCCAGGCGTCTTGTTGTCAGAAAGGTTGGGTCACACGTGCGGTGCAAGTGAAAACTCAAGGAAATACACGTGTTAACTACCCTAAAATAAGTGAAAAAATAACTACCGATTCAAGGTGAAACATGCAAAACGCCTTAAGCGCGGGAAACGTGAGTGGCCAAATAGTGGTTGTTTTTAGTTTTGCATTTATTTACTTACGACAATCAACTGAAAAATATAGAAGTGATTGAAATTTCTTCTTTAAGCATTTCATCTAAATGAACATTTTTCTGCCAAAAGAAAGGCTTGGAACAAAAAAAGGCCTTGACGGGGCTCAAGCCTAAGCCCTCCTGGCTCAGCTCCCCGAAAGAAGAGTGGATGTAAAAATTGAGCCCGCGAGGCTTTGTGCACTGAAGGCTTGTGCGCGGTTTCCAAGCAACAAAAGCCAAATCTAATATGGACGAAGAGGCAGTAGGAGCGACCGATAACATTGTCACCGAATTTGCCACATATGAAGACTTTCTCGACAGTCAAATAACCCCATTAGATCTCTACTACCTTGAGGTATTTCGAGGCTTATTTTGGTCGAACTTTTACGGAAATCTCTTTAGTGTAACTTGTCTTCACGATCATCGAACCCTTTAGTTTGATTAATATGTTGTCCTCGATCCTGTAAACCTTTACTTCTAGTCAGTCTTTTGAAAGAAACTTATTCATTCATCAGAGTTGAGAGAAACTTATTAATTCGTCAGAGTTAAAAGAAACTTACTCATTCATCAGATTGTGTTGAGATTGTAACGAAATCAAGCCGCGATGTATAATTCGATAAGGTCCATCTAAAACTTGGTACAATTGTATTTACATTTGAATACCTTATTTAATGTTGAATTCTTGTTTTGTGTTCTCCCATAGGATGAGGAATTGGCACGACAGCTGGTAGAGTTAGGCTACAGAGGAAGCGGAGAGGTCAGGATTGAAAATTATTTAATGGAGAAAGAATTGTAAAACTACTAATACGTACTTATAGACTGAGTGAAAGATAAAAGAGTTGTGCGAGAGAAAATATTTAGCTCTAGGTCGTGACATACGGATCTACAGTAGCGCAGTAAGGGCATTGGGAGTCAGAACAAAAAACCAATAATCTATGTAGTGGCGCATCTTATTATCTCTTTTGCTGTATTTTAAGTTAAAGTTCAAAATTTAATTTAAGTTCTTTGAATTTCAAAAGAGCTGTGTGAGTGCAAAGCTTTTTTTCAGATTAGCTCACTTCAACAATGTGGGCCTACAGATGTTAGCTTTCACCATCACATGGTTTTGTATAGGATTGCAGATGTGAGGCTATGCGGGTCATTTGGTGAAAATACACCACATAACTAAATCTTTCCAACAGCATGATTTCTAAACTTCACTTCTATCACCAAGCTTAAAATATACCATTTACATGTAGAACTGCTATTTACTTCGTTGGTTTGTTACTAATTTAGAAATTAGATAATGCTGAATGATTATTAACTGGTCCTGATTTATCTTTTTATGTATCTATAAATTTTTTTAACAGAAAGCCTCAAACATCCTGAGTATTTCAAATAATCTGTCATGTGTAGTAAGATTAACAAACAGTGCAAATTTAATTAGCTATACTAATTTGCAACTTAAAAATTATTTATTGTTTCCTGCATAATTGTCTTTGTTTTAAGGTTCTGAAAAGGGAAGAATTTGAGGCCAGAAAACAAGCTGCTGAGGCAAGCAGACTGTCAAAAAGAAGTCAGCAAAAGTATGATATACATGTGTAATGTTTTGTGTTTAATTCCACTGAGTAATGCATGACTAGGTACATATCAAACCCCTTGAAATGAAATCCAAGTCTGACCTTAGAGTGTATGGACAAATGTCTCTCTACTGAAAAGTTATCAGTGTGCAAGAGTGTATTTTTTCTGTTGTTTTTCCTGCCTCTCTCCACCAGTATCAAAAAGCAGGGTTGTCACCCAAAGCACCAGAGGAGAGGTCTTATTTGAAGTAAATCCAGCAACCTAAAAGCTCCTCTGCAAACAAAGTCCCAATACCATCAAATAACTAGTAGTTTTGAATAACTGTTTTCTAGAACTTTGGCCAGCTCTGGCAAAGATCTTAAAGATGCATTCTTGAGGGCATTAGCCCAGCGGGAAGAAGCAAACAGGAGTGGGAAAATGACAGTGAGTTTTTACTTTCTGCTGTTTTTCAACTCTTTACTGAAGCCAGTTTAATCTCAAAACTAGTCCTAAATAGACAAATATTTAATGCTTTTCTATCTAAAGTATTGCGATGTCAACTACAGTGTAATACTATTTAGTTTATGTTTGACCTTATGTTATGTGTTGATAGAACTCATGCTTGAAATTTTCCCAAATGCATAATTTAAAATTTAATAAATTTGAATTAGTAACTAAAGTTGATTTTCATTGATAATCTTTAATGATTCTTCTTTGTTGTTGCTTCTTTTTTTGTTGTGAAAATCAAGTCCATTATCTTTATCAGAGACAAGAATGCGAGAGGGCAGGTAAGATTTTGATACCACTCATTCATTGGTTAAAATTGCAGAAGTTGCAGTCAGTGAGTTAATGGCAACTATATCACAAGAATGTACTTTAATGAAACCATCATCTTGTTGCTAATTTTTGTCTTTATTCTTTCCAGGAAATATCAGGCTATATTGACTATGCGCATCGCCTAAAAGTAAGTTCTATACATTGACATAGATTCTCATGGCTCAACAGCTTTTGTAGAAATTATTTAAATTATGTTATTAATTAAATTATCAAAGGCATTTTTAGTCATTAATTATTGAGGCAAAAGTTTCAGTTTCATTTTATCAATGAAACAAAGGTATTAGTCCTACTGAAAGGAAACTCTTGTCCTGCATTAGAGGGAAAGTAAGATGATATTAATAAGTAGTTTGCCAAATTGACCTCTAAGAATTTGTAAAAATATTTTCTACCTAATTTATAGATTTTTATATGCAACTGAGTGGTTTCTTTGTTCAGAGTATTTTTAACCTTTTGACCCTGAGAGTGACTAGCTTCTCCTTTCTTGTTACAATTATATCACACCTGAATTGCAACTAGAGTCGTTAAGGTCACAAGAATAAAAGAAAGGATCACCAATGAAGTTCTTGATTGTTAAACAAATTCTCCTTGGCAGCACCTCATAGGTACTGATGTTAGGGAAGGGTTAACTCCTTATACCCTAACATCAGTATGCATATTCTCTTTACTTTCTCTGTACATTTCTCAAACTTCTGGAAAGGAGAATTTAGAATTTATTTAGGGGTGATCTTGTAAGGAGAAAATAGATGCCAGTCAGCCTTAGGGGTTCAAGGGCTAAACCAATGTATATTTGATTTGATTATCTATGTACTTCAATTTCATTATGTTTTCCATTTAGACAGAGGACTTTGAACCTTACTTTAATGGAAGGAAAAGACTACTTCCCAGACCATCAGATTTGAGTTTTTATAACTGGGAAACACAAACTGCAACTTCAAATCCCACTCCAAACTATCAGGTAACAAACTGCAATTTATAATTGTAAGTTGTCTCATTTTTGTACCAACAATCTTCTCCAAGAGTCTCTAATGTTGTTGTTAAAGCTAGCCAACTGTCTCCATACAAAATACTCCACTTAAAAGAATACTTGATCTTTGCTTCCCCCATTCCTGACCCTCAGTGGACAGACCTGTAGGAGATGACTAATGACCTATCAAATGATTTGTTGTACTATGACACACCAGACTTAGGATTTAACGATGGTCAGGTAACATTAAACCAAGGGAAGGTTGAATTTTTTTTTATGGCACAATTATGCCCCTCCACCATGTAAATTACAGAGCTGCAAGTTAAAATGTACTTAAACATGCATTAGTAAGCCAGTACTTCTGTTGGTGTGCTGATCATTCGGCAAATCAGTCTTCGATCTGATTTTCCACAACTACCTTTTGTCACCCTATACTTAGTTGCAAAATAAAGAAGAATGAAATGACGACCAGGTAATTACTTTCCAGGTCATTGCTGAAAACTCCTCAGGTTTGCTTTTCAAGAACAAGAGAGACAGAAAAATATTGAATGTGGATCCAAAGGTAAAAATTAAACTGACATTTTGCCACAAAAAGTTATTGTCTTCCCTACCCTATACTGACTGATTGTCTGACTGATTGACTGACTCTCTGACTGTTTGATGGACTGACTGATTGTCCTAGTGACTCTCTGACTGACTGACTGACTAACTGATTGTGTGACTGACTAATGGACTCTGAATAACTAACTGACTGACTGATGAGTGACTGGGTAATTTAGTGTTATCAGCTGAGTTGAAAATGTAAATTGGCCACCACAGAGAGTTTATAGGCTAAAGGCTAAAGTTACTGACTGACTGATAACTGACCATCTGACTAATTGGCTGACTGTCTGACTGATTGACTGTCTGACTGATTGATTTTCTGAACTACTGACTGACTGATGACTTATTGAACGACTGATAACTGACTGTCTGATGGATTGATTGTCTGACTGACTGACTCATAAACTGACTGACTGTTTTAATGTCTGATAGTCTGACTGAATGACTGACTGTCTGTCTAAAAAACTGACTGACTGACTGACTGACTTTCTTACTATTGTGATTAACTATCTTAATAACTGAAAGTCTGACCCACTGATGACTGATTGTTTGACTAACTGACTGTCTTAATACCTGACACTCCTACTGACTGACTAACAGTCTGATTAACTGACTTACTGACAGTCTGACTTACTGATGATGACTCACTAAATGATTAGAGTCTGACTGACTGAGTTATTGATTGATTGATTGATTGATTGATTGATTGATAGGCACTAACACCTGGTGACAACTCAGCAAGGATTCCCATTGAAACTGCAAAATATATTCAAGTGGTAATCTACGATCACATTACTCGGAGAAAGACGTAATGCACAATCTGCAAGGTTGTTTATAATATGGACACATTGAAATGTAAATATTTGATCCTGTTATATAGGGTTTATATGAAATCACATTATGGTAATTGATATAACCCATTTTTTTCTTTGTGTTGTGAGATACTGCTGGTTACCATGTTTATTTTGAGTAGAAGTTTTGTGTCATAGAAAGGACAAAAATGAAGACACGTTTTTTATCACCGGAGAGCTGATAAATAAAAAATCGTTTGTAAATTTAAAATGGACTCTATTGACGCTGCTCTGAGCGCGGGCTCTGTTCACGACATTAGCTGGTTATCTAGAGTTTTTCCAGGCGAAAGAACATTACCATTCTACTTGCATCTGATCAAATACTTTGGAGCCAAAACCACGAGTATCACATGCCAATCCAAGAGCGAAACTGACGAAGATCTAACAGTATATTTTCATCCTCTTTTTGTCCAAAAAAGTGCTAAATTGTGACCATAAAAATTCGGGTATGCCCAAAATTCTTCCCTGCCTTTTTACCATGGGATAATCCTTCCGCGCCCCTGCGTAGATGAGTGCTTTAATATCTCGTGTGCTGCAGCACCTATACGTGTGTGAAGCGTCGCTTGTTCGTGGGAATCACACGCCTTTTCCACGCGAGTATTTGACGGACTTCTCAGTTATCCGCCACGTATGGTAAGGGACTACGTTCGTTTAAGTTAATCCGGGATGCAAAAAGACTTAATGTACTTTTCATCCTTAAACTCCCATGAGTGACCAAGACAGAATTTCTCCTAACAATATTAATACAATATTAATACAATATCAACCAGATAAGTGATGAGGATAAAGAAAAATATCAATTTGGGGATAATTAGTTGATCCAGTACTAAATTCTCTGAACTAACATTGTAAGAATTGTATGGTTGAAAGTAAGGAGAATTACAAATTTGATCTGGGAGTTTTAGTGTTAAAATATGGACGTCGAAATGACACATTACTCTTAGGGCTACATTATTTCCCATTCTGGGTCCAATAAATTAATGAAAGGTGCGAAATAAAACGAGGAGCTGGGGAGAGAAGCTGTGTTCTTCTACTGTAGGTCTTTTTTTTTTGTTTGTTTTTTTTTTTCGCTCAGGGTTTTTCACTTTGATTTGCCGTAATCTGTGACGCTTTTGATGCCCAATGGTGGCTTATTAGAACGTTTGGCTGCACATCAGGCGAGTTTGGTCAAACCAGGGATCGTCTCGGTATTTTGAAAGCGAACTTGTTACCGAGCGATATTAGTTCATTGACTTGATTTCAAAGCATATCGGGCGATCAGAGTGAGCTTCTGATTGGCTAAGTTCAAATTTGGTAAATGCTAGCAACATAGGCACAATGTTGCAATACGCAATGAGTGCAAAACTAGATAAAGAATCTTTAGAAGACTCTGCTACGAACTAATTTATCAAAGAAAGCCACGAGACTCGCTAGTTGGTTGCAACCTAAGCAGTTGCACACAAAAGCCTTTGATGGGATTCCGTCTTATCTTGAATCTGTTTTGCAATTGCCTAAATCACTGCCCGCTTGCGAGGATCATGGCTTTATTTGATTTTTTATCCACACGTTAAATGAACTTTATTTCATTAAAAAATTGTGTCCTAATTTATGATGAAACTCTGTCTTTTTAAGGCGAACGATCTTTCAAAAAGCACTCTCCACCTTTTTAAAGTAACGTGGATTCTGTTACTCGGTTCACTTGTGCATATCTGTCCATTACTATCGCAGGCAATCAGGAATGAAATCCGTCTAAATATTCTTGGTCATCTTTATCCTTAGTACTAGGCTCTTCAAAGCGGGTGGGGGGCTCAGCCTCACTTCCAACGGAAGGTCTGGTACCCAGAAAAGCTTCAGCCCCTAGCAACAGTTACCTATCCCTGTTTTTCTTATAATGGTATTGGTTAATTTTGCTGAGTGATCTTGATAACTAAATACCTAATTACATTTGTATTTTCGAAGGCTGTCAGATATTATCTACTTTCAAAACAAGAGATGAAATAATCTCCACAAGATGACGGAGGCGTTGAAATCAGCTTTTTAACTTGTTTTGGTAATTTGTTTCCTGCAACTCAATTGCTGAAATTTTCCGCGAAGCTATTAACAAAATTAGTTGATTCAATTTCCCAGCCCGCATTTCAATATCACAAGATGTAACTCTTTGCATTTTTTTTGTTGTCATTGTTGATTGAAAAATGAACAAAAACTAATGAAAACGTTTAAAGGGAACTTAGAATGAAATAGTAATTGAAAAAGGAAAAGCCTATTACCCTAAAAGAAATAAAAGTACCGAAAAAAAAAGTGTATTTCTTTAATGCATCTGTCAGACACTAATGGTTCTATCAGTAGTCAAACTTCCCGTTTATAAAACTTCAGGTTTGAAAAAAGGGAAAAAAGTTTATTTCATGTCTCTAATGCAACTAAAGGTTTGTCACAATATCTACATATAATTGACACCCGAGCTAGCAAATTGTGGCGCCAAAATCTATTATCGTGACGGAAAAAATATGAATATTTGCTCATAAAAAAAGGGCCCCAAATGATAGTCAGTCGGTTGTCAAAATTAAGGATGTGAAAAGCTTGTAGAGAACAGAAAGAGGCAGATATGCTGCTTCAATAATGCGATGTTTCAAGGTGGTATTGATATTGTTGCTTCGGAAAAAAACAGTTCGAAAAATGTGAAGAAGCGACGTGCAGGTCGAATTTCTCTTTGGGAAAGTGTTGTTTACCATTGCTTCAGCACAGTTCCTGCTGCGCACGGATATATGTCCATCAACTCACGGTGAACTCATCCTTAAACCTAAAACACCGATGGCTCGGCGAAGGTTTGTCGAGCCATAGATAACAATATTTTACCAGACGCTTAGTATAGTATTTCGCTCACCCTGCCCTGGGGCTCAGTAAATTTAACCCCCCTTATGAAGAGCACTTTTCAAACGCCCGCAGCCTTTAGCTTACAAGATCAATTTGCACTTAGCACTGTAGAATAAAGTATTCTTTTGTTGTTTATTTTATTATATTGTTCTTTAAGGTACTAGGAGACCGTTGAATGCGACACTCAATCGGCATTGTAGAAATCTTTTCCACAAAAACGCCAAATTCTTGTCACCAGTAGAGCTGAAAAAAATTGAAACGTGGCAAAATTTTAAAAAACTTCCTGGCGCTAGCTGCTTTCTCGCGAATGGTTTCATATACCTTTTAGCTAGAGCTGTTTCCGTGTGAACGTTCCGCGTAAAGTGCAGGTTTTATCACGTACATGTTTATGTACCTTCCGGCAATCTTCCCGGAGTCGCTGCCTTAATTGACCTGCCATACGATAGGTCGCAAATACAATTCTAATTAAGATCAGTTATAACTCCTGCATTAATGTCGCCCTAGGAAAGCAGCTGTAAGCACATTTTACTTGGAAAGCAAATAATTAGCGACCAAGTCTTCAGAGTTCATACACGCTTGATTTGACAGCAAGTGTTAATTCCAGCCACAACCTTGTGGTTTTGTGTAAATGGAACTATTTTCGTTCGAACAGAATCGAAGAATGCAACGATATCTTGTATAGTAAGATTAGAGAGTTTAGACTAAGCAACGACTCTGCTACTTGCGGTTGAATTACAGTGCTCTTAATTTACGACAGTAAAGGTAAGTTGCTTCGACAAACTTCGGAGCAAAATGTTTAAATCAGACAGCCAAGTGAACGAGACCTCAATTTATCACAGCTACTGTTTTGATGTCATTTGATGGTAGTGAAGATCTACTGCGAATCAGCTAAAATGAGAAGCGTATTCAAATTCGTGGTCTGTTTTACAATCCTTAATTCAAGTAGATAGCTCTTGCATATAAACTAATCTTTCACGGACGCTCTTTATTTGATTTCAATTTATTTTTTTTGCGCGCCATTTAGACGTCTTTTGACCAACATATACTATATCTACAAAATCGATCAAATTTAATTCGGTAAGCTTGCGGAAAAACTTATTAATTTTTTTTTTCAACCATTGATTGAGAAATAAAACTACACGACATTGTTTTGAGCTCTTTTAACATTGGAAATTTTACATGCGCATCTGGTTGAAAGTGATATCCATTTGATAAATTAAAAACCCCATTTACTAAAATATATTTCATTTGCATATTTCTGTCTGTCAAATATGAAAGAAATGACAAGTTGGATGAAAAATTTGGGACACGTATCCCGATGCGTGGCTTATCATTACAGTGCTTCTCTCAGCAAACGTCCATCACTTGCGAATTAGATCACCTTTACAACGCTTACTTTGAGAGACAATGAACTATTAATTTTGAAATGTCATGTTTATAGAGACTTCAATTCGTATTATTGCTTACATACAAAGAAGTAGGCAAACTTTAATCTTATAAAACAAAAGATTAGACAGATCTGCAAAAATTTGCCCTCAAATCTTCGAAATGTCATCTCCATGAGGATATATATTCATCCGTTTAAAACCTTTATAACGAACACGTTAGGCAAATATTAATTTCCTAAAGGTAAATGATATGTCGGATTTTGGAAAAATTGTTTACAAGCTCAGAATCACTTCCGACAAAATTACGACTATCAGGCAGCCAATGAAAGTCGTGCAATTTAGACTTTAATATAAAATTACATATACTCTTTTGTATTGAATATTCAAAAGCAGCTTTTTCAGTTATTTTTACATCGTATGAGGTCATTAAGATGCAGGTTTTCACGACCAAATTTGCTTTTAAAAGGGTTCTGCAAACCAGATGTCTTCCGATCTACTTGATTTTTTTTTATAAAAACCGGAAAAGACTTCCTGGAGCTCTCTCTGGCTTTACAAAATTAGGCCCACGCTAAATACGCTCGGTCTCGGTGAACCAAATTATTCTAATCAAATAAAAATTCGGACAAATATCGTCTTTGAGTTTATTTGTTTTTCACCAGTTTACGAAGTCATATCGCCGATCCGACTTTTACATAACAATATATATAGATATTGAGATATTGGGAAAAAATAAAGAGACTTTACTTTCATCCCCACAAGCCTGTTTCGTTATTACTCACTCATCAGGGGATTTTTAAATTTCCCCTGATGAGTGTGTAATCACGAAGAAGGCCTGTAGGGATGAAAATAAAGTCTCTTTGTTTTTTCCCTATCTTAATATATATCGCGCTCTACTTCTACGTATCGAGCACTGTACTACGGAAAAATCGAAACAGACTTCCTACATTGAAAACACAGACTTCAGTATCGAAATATATATATATACATACACACACATATATATATATATATAGTGGATAGTGGTAATCAATCAGTTTGAAAGAAAAGCCAAACAAAAGCAGAAAATATTATCCGTTTTAAGCAGCTTTGTTGATATTTTTCACGAGGATTTCATTGGCGCTCATCCACACTTAACAAACAACGGCTTTACTTTGAGTAATCTTTAAACGCATCAAAGTTTTCAAAAATCAATATTTTAACTATACCATCGACTTGTAAGCACGGAAATCAGAACGTCACTGACTAGCTGTATGCTTTAGCGGGGCAAGTTCGCGAGTTAATATTTCTATGATTATAACTAACCCTAACCGTAACCCTAAAACACAAACAAGATTTCTCTTTGGACTAACGGGCATTCTGTTCTTACGGTATCTCTTTGCTAGTCTCGCAGACAGGTGTAAAGGACTGGAATTGAACAAAAGGTCTTAATATAGACATGACCTGATTTCTGAGTTTTTATACCATCCTGTGGAAAACAAAGACTTTAAAATTTCAAGAACCTACAAGTTTTTGAAAATGAAGACGGGACGGAATAAGAATGTTTTGCTTCTGTTTTTTTCTTTTGTTCTTGTCGTTTGTGTTTTGTTCTTTTTCTGTCTTGTCTCTCGAAGTATATCATAGCTTTTATTTTTGTTAAAAAAATTTAAACCTCGCATTCTCTTTCATAGGAAGACTTCGAAGAAATGGAGAACAATCCAACCCTGATGCGCATGTGTGTTGCACTTGCATTTCTCTTGAGTTTCACGAGTGCGTCTGAAGAAACTTCATGTGGTCCCATGAAAACTTCCACCTGTCAAAGAAACAGCAACTCAGGTAATTGAAAACTTTCAACCTCAAAACAATCGATCGCTCAATAGCTGAATACCTACAAGTATTCCCTGTACATCACATTTTGGCTCTGAGCGTCTATGTCTCTTGCTATAAATGTAGTGAAACCACTTTTCAAGAGGCAACTTCAGGATCGGAAGAAAGTGTCCTCTTCAGTGACTGTAGCTCTAGCAATGTTTTAAAGGAACATGTTTCAGATTAGATCTAAGTTCGCATCACTTTAATGGAGAGAGACGTACTTTAAATAAATCATGAATCAAAATGTATTCATCATATACGCGCTCTTTTTTTTTCTCTACATTCATAGGATAGGTGATCCTCTTTTTATTTCCTCAGGAGCTGATGTCCACTGTGAAAGTGACTCAGCGCCTCATAGCTGCAGTAATAGAAATGAAGATAAAGAGAAACTTAAATACCATTTCCACGTGAATGAGCCGCCTAAGTTCCGTGGCGTGTATCCATTTCCAGTGGATCCTATTCCGCGAAGAAACTGCTTTGACAAGGAAGCAATGGAATTTCTACAAAAGGGGGTAAAACACATCGCAATAATTTTCATTTGGATATGATTCACGATCACATTGGTATTAGGAAAATCTTCCATTATGTGTCGAAAGTAATCCGGGATTGCCGTGTTTTAGCTTTACTTCGTTACGTGATTGGTCCAGGAAACCTTGCACTACTTTCTCGACCAATCAGATTGATAACCAAAGCCAATCTAGACGTGGTCAGCCGCGTTTTCCCGTCTTTTAGGCAGTGGGCTTGTTTTGAATTCGAATTCTCGTTGGCTCCTCTTGATATTTTCCCAGCTGTGATTGTTTTGGTTTCTCAGTCGAGAAGCACCCTTATGCCCGAAGCCACGTGATTGGTCCAGATATCTGGCACCACCCTCTCAACCAATCAGAAACTATGGGCGACTTAATCAATCATTATCCTGTGTTTACAGCTATTTCAATGTGTTATTTTAATTTGAAATCTCATTGCCGACGCTTGATATTTGCTGCTCGTTATTCTAATCAGCTAAGGTGGTGAACACAAGAAAATTTGGTTTAATCACCTGAGTTGATATTGTAAATTGGTCACCGTAAAGAGTTTTTAAAGCTGACGTTTCGAGCATTGTGTGTAGTTTACATACGGAGCGATGAAGCTACGCTATTGAAAGCAACATGGATAAAAACGCAGGATTAAATTAGATGAAAGAGATGTTCTTTTGAACTTTGGGGATTAAGGTTGTGACCAAATGGATGGGAAAGGGCTCCACTATGTTGCCGTCTTCACCTAAGATTTCACAATTCTTCTTCACAGCTCTACTTCTATACTACGTTTTACGAAAATCTGAACCCCGTGCCTAGAAATTATCTCATGAAACAGGCAGAGGGGTCAAAAAGAGGTTACAACTACACGCTGGGAAAATCGTATCCGACGATTTGATTTCATTTTACGCCATGTAACTGAGAAGAATTTATCTAACATGTCTTAATCATCCTACATTGTTTTGTTGTTTTTGTTTCTGTTGTTGTTGTGGTCTTTGCTTTTGATAATTGTAAATCATGATCTATTACCATTTATTGCAGCTTCCAGTGGTACTCGAACAATGCACGTTCCAGAAGCCTGCCCTAAAATGGACCATAGAATACCTAAAAGAGAATCTGAAAGATGAAGACCACACGGCATACTTTTCACAAACCAGGCAGTTTCTTTATTACGACGACGATCACATGAAAGGCACGTACAAAGAATGGAAACCGCCGATCACCAAAAAATTCTTATATTTTAGCAATTTTACGAAATTGATGAAGGAAATAGAGGAGGCGGACAATGGTAGCCGAGCGTACTTTCAGGTACTGCATTGAAATCTGTCACGTTAGTTGGGGTGGTTTCTTTGAGTGATCAGAGCTAGACTTTGGAAATTTTCATCCCTGTAGAGTTCAGTTATTGAAGTGGTTTGTTTTTCCTGATCTTTTGAGGATTTCGTTGGACAGGAAAAAAGGGGGCAGATGGATTTCCTTGAGTTGGTGTCTTTTCTTTGTGTGTGTGTGTGTGTGTGCAAATATGATTTATACGCTGCCACAACAACAACAATAATATCAACAACTATTTTTGTTTTCTTCGCTTTTGTTTTTGTTTTTTCATTGTTTTTATTTTGTTTTGTTTTGCCTTATAGCCAGTGTGGTCATCCTTTAACCCCTAATGCTTGCTTGCCAGGACTCTCTTAATTTTCGTAACGATTTTCTATTTTCAGTCACTGATATATCTTCAAGAAGGCGTCAGTGCAGCCATGCAGAACGATGTTGATTCTTTTAACTACACCTGGCTACTTGACCTCGTGACGCGCTTCAGCTGGGGCGAGGATGTTACCAACCTGCTATTGGTTGGTATGCCTGATGTCGTCACGCCTGCGCACTTTGATGTCCTGGAGAATCTTTACGTGCAGGTTAGTTTTATAAATTATTTATAACATTACTGCAAAATAATCAACTTCATTAAGGCAAAGATTAAGCTGTTTTTTGTCGCAGATCTTATGGGCGCTTATAATATCCAAGATATCTATGCCACAGGCATGGAATTATTCCGTCAGTCAAAGCATTGGAAGATATCGGTGTTTCTAACACCCTGTCAGCATACATATCATATGAAATGCCATAAAAATGATGTCGCAGAATAAAAACCTCCCCTTTCTTAGATCCGACTTACTGTATTTGAATCATCTCAATAACAATAATAATAATGATAATGATAGTAATATTCATTTTTTATTGACTGTTTAAATAACAAATTAATTTATCACTGTACAATCCGGATTTTATTAAGCACATTTAACAATAAATTAGAAGTGAAATGACAGTGCAAACTGCGAAGCTAAGTTAACCGATTAGATTTTTGTTAACTCCTCGTGACATGGCTAACTTGTCTCAAGTTAGCCATGTCCGAAAGTCATTTGAATTCCCTTTGATGGTATTTCACGATACATGGGGAATTTACCACATTTGTTTCTTATTTTCTCACTTCAATCTTAATAGCTTTAATAGTTTCATTTTTTTCTCTGTCCAATAGTATTTTTAGCAGAAGAGATATCTTGTATTATTCATTATTAGTAAGGACATATGCAGCAGTTTTCAGTTGAGTTTCGAAAGACCAAGACCAAAATAATGGCGACAGCCAATCGAAGTGAAGGCGACACCATAGTTAGCTAATGAGTGCTTGGAATAAAAACGTGCGAACTGCATGAAAAGCACATAAACGCGTGTGATTAATTCATGAGCTTTGAATCTGATTGGTGAAGCTAAAATATGTAAAACCAAAGTAACCATGGATTACTTTCGACTTGCAATTGACAACCGTTCCATAACTGGATTAACTTGCTCTTTGCTTTCTTGTATCCAATTGGCAGATTTTTGGCCGGAAGCGAGTCATCTTGTTTAGTCCAGATTACTTCCGTTGTTTGTACCCGCATCCTGTGGGACATCCTCATGACCGACAAACACAGGTAACATTTTCTATTTCCTTCTGTAAAGAGAGCAACAAGCTTGGCTTGGTTTAGGGCCTAATCTTTAGATCATTCCTCTCAAACTCTTTCAAAAACTATCCCGTTTTGAAGATCTCAGGGAATCTAGGAAAAGTCCATCTTTGTCACACATTTTGCTAACGTGATTATCCTACGCTGTCTGTTCGTTCTCTACTAAGACAGTCAAGCAAGCCGTAAGGTGCATAAAAAATGTTATCCAGAGACAGAATACCCTTTGAGGAAGGGAGTTTCCTGCTCCACCACCCAAATCTCTTGTTCTTAATTTTTATGGAAGATAATTATCAAACTATCAATGAGGTGACAAAGATATAATTAGTCTTACCTACGACTCCCATCTCGAGCAGAACATCTTGATCCCAGTCCCTGTCGGCCTCATGATAATTATCAACACTTTTTACGTTAAAGGTGGACTTCGACAAACCTAATTTTGACTGGTTTCCCAGATTCCGTGAGATTAGAGGTATGGAGGTCGCTTTGGAGCCTGGAGAGGTGTTATATATTCCAAACCTCTGGTGGCATTATATTGAAAGTGAGATGCACAGGTGAGAACGTAATAAAGGCTAATGTCTCAGTTTAAGCATGTTGAAAATCTAGAATTCCGGAACGAAATATTCCTCTCATGGTCATGTGTGTGGAAACACACTTAGAGCGATTTTTGTAGAGATGTGCAGAAGACATCCTTTATCTGACTACAGAACGATAGTTGTATGCCATATCTTTTTTAATTTATCATTTTTGGACATTCTATTTTCGTTTAGCAACACCATATCCATTAATTTTTGGTTTGAGGCGAAAAATGCAAGCAAGGTAGATGACGCAAGGAAAAAGAAGACGAACGCCACAGATATAGAAGCAGAAAACAACAAAGAATCTCACCAAGAGTATGATAACCCGCGGGAAAATAAGGAACAGCCTGAAGACTCTGAAGAAACCTTAAAGGAGCACTCCGAAGAAACTGGAACTAGCGATTTTGAGCAGATCAGCGAACACAGTGATGAATCAAAGGCAGATGAAACCATGGCGAAGGGAGCCGAGGAAGAGAAGGATGGAAAAGAATTTGAAGAAACAGATTTAAATCAAGAAGAAGAAGATGTGAAAGAAATTGAGTTGTCGGCCGCTGAATACTTAATCCTTCTGAGAGAAACAGAAATATCGCTTTACAAAGCTACACTAAGCCACGCAAAGGTAGGTTGTACAAAAAATGCCAAGATAAAGCTATTTACAAACAAACAAAAGAGTATTAAACAAACAAACGAACATCTGAAATAAAAAAATTGAAAAAAAAAAAAACAAGGAATGAATACAGAGTATGATTTCCGATATTTCTTTCACACTTACATGGATATAAATTTCACGTGGTAAAACTGACCCGAGTTTATCAAGAGAGTGGACTTTGATACATTCTATTACAACTTCTAACAAATAAAAAAGTGCCTTTTAGCGATGGGCGGGGATGGCATATTGATGAGAGCGCTCACCTCCCACCGCTCCGGCCCGGGTACGATTCCAGGACCCACCAGCCAGTGTCACTTGAGTTTTTTGTCGGCTTGAGTTTGCTATTGGTTCTCGTCCTTACCCCGAGAGTTTCTCCCCGAGTCTTTCAGTTTTTCTTCTTCCTCAAAAATTAACACTCTAAATTCCAATTCGACCTGGAAACAGTGGACTGGAAGAGCCACCGCGTGAAATGTCCACTGTTATAATTATATTAGTATTGTTATTATTATTATTATAAAATTCGGTCCAAAAATAGATTTAAAGTGAGAACTTGAAAAAAGGGAACAACAAAAGCAATACCATGCCGAGATTGGATGAAGTTTATTTTGAATTCGAGCAAAAGGAAATATTTATCCGATTCGAGGTAGTCGATCTGGATAGGTTTTCAATAAACTTTAAATTTATTTTCCTGTTAAGGGCGTGCGACAATACTTTAAAACTCACCTTTTTTTTTCTTTTTTCAGGTGAAGAAAATATTGGATGAATTGCTATCGGGAAGATTTGATCACATATAACGCTTAATGATATCAGAAAGACTATGACAATAATGAAATTATAATGACAGAATTTAAGAAATACCATAACAAGGTGACCTGATCGCAAAAAAAAATTATCGTTTTAGAGAATTACCTAGGAATTTATAAGTAATTATATCAGAATAAAATCTAACAAATTTTAAGAAGAGCAGCGATGATAGATACAAGTAGATTGAACAATAAAAGTGAGGAAATGAACAAAAAACCGTTTTTTGTAATAACTAATTGATTATTCATTATCATGAAGTACGAGAAATATTCGAATGTTCTCCGTGAAGGAAGTCATTGAGCACTTGTCAATTCAACCTGACAGATAGAGACATATTTTTTTATTTGTAGTAAAATTTGGAGTAAATGGTAGCGAAGCGAGCGAAGTAATGTTGTTTAGTTGGGCATCAAAAGCTCCTGACCAAGGATTGTCGGATGAGATTCAAGATACCTTGATAAAAAATTATCGGTAGAAATCATTCGTTCGCTTTTTATAAGGTAGAAGGAAAGTAAAAAAGTTTGCGGTATGTAATTCTTTTTCATAATCTGTGATCTAACCGATTGTCAAACCCGATTCAAAGGCAGTCCAAGTTGAGCCACCGAGTTCAGACCTTCCGAGATCAAGGCTATTCGTATGTTTAGTTGGTAATGCGTTTGGGTAATTCTCGCCTTACTGGAACGGAGACATTGGAGGCGGACGGCAAAGCATATTCGGATAGCATTTGGCGGCAATAGACTTATTTCAATCAGTGGTTCACGATTACACGGTAAAAACACTCCTCTCTGGGGAAGCATCAGTGTGGCATATTCCCAATGGCAATTTTTATGTACAACTCTCGTATCTATCTCGTTAAACTCGAGTTTTGCAGCCTGAACTGTTGGCCCTCATTCTGGTTCAAGAATCAAGGGTTCAAAGAGTATCTAAAGAAACTATGGTGCTTCATGGGTGAAGGGTATATATTACAATACAATTTTGTTTCATCAACTGAGTTGATAATGTAAAATGGCCTCTATATACAGTTTCTAAAGTTGACGTTTCGAAGGGTAACCCTTCAGTCAGAACGAACCTTTATATCTTCGCTCCAATGAAGGGCAAGCGATCGAAACATCAGCTTTATCGACTCAGCAGATAAAATTAAGTAATCTTGATTCAAAAATTGTTTGGTAACGAATTTCATGTCTAAATATTGATCACAGGTTCGATTTACGGAAGGTAGACAATTTGTACGAAGTAGAACCCATTCATCACGCGTGCACGCGAGAGAAACTTTGTAGTGCGGTCTACATTGACAGGGAAAACATCGCTTTGAAATCACGCGAACGGTTCTGAACTTCCGAATGTTCACAAACTGAAAGTCAGTTCGATATCTCCTCTTGACCTTGTATTAAACACAGGTTAGACTCGATGCGATCGATACGGCGGTTAAGCAAGCAACAGTGCTAGAAAAAAAACTGGCAGAATTGAATAGTTGTTTGCGCCATAAAGATAATGTTTATAGATAAAATCAGTTTCCAATCCATTGTGATGAATTTTCCGCATACTTTTCCTTCTGTGGTACTTAAAGTTCCTTCTGCGTGTCTGTGGAATGACTATTAGACATGCAAATGATTGAAAACCGCAAGTGCATCGCTGTTTAAATTTAGCCTGAGCTTGAAGACTAGAAACACCGGTTCGATAGGTATCAAGAATTAAGTAAAATAACCTTGAATATACACAAGGGACTTAACTTTTAAGTGATCGCCGGGCGACGACTTAAGCGCCGCCAAAACAAATCATTAAAATATCAACAGTTCAAGTTTGCCCAATGATCGCATTGTCAAAGTTACATATTTTGTCATCCTTATTGACAGCCATGTCACGAAGCGCAACCCAACCGTAGAAATCCTTTGTATTTTGTCACAATTATTTAGTTTAGACACACAACGCGTTTGAACCGGTATATCTTGAGTTGAGTGTCTAATTGAGCTAAAGGAAGTATCAGTGCTCGCAGAGGAAGTTTGTTGAGGCATCTGAATTGATATAAAGCCTAGCTGATATTATAAAGTGAATCAATTTTTTTTCGACGGTTCTGGTATAGCTGATACGAAATGGGAGCTTCGAAGATTTTTCTGGTGGCTGCAATTTTGCTCATTAACTTAGTGGGAACAATGATCTCTGGTGGTGGTAGGTGTTTACAAACTCAATTTTGTAAAAATTATAAATGATGACTTATTTGCAAATGCTATTACGCGCCAAACAACTCTTTTCTTTCGGCCTGCGCATTCAGTTGCTTACTTGTTATTTGTGTGTAAATAATTTGACAGGAAGTTTATATAAACAAGGGTGTTTTTGGAGAGAGCTTCGAACGTGCTGGGGTCCAAGTTACCCTCCATCATAAGACAATGAACATTTTCTCTCGCAAAATCAGTCTGTTCAGGAAACTTTGGGAATTTATACTAACCACTTATCGAAAAGCGCCAGTGAAACTTCAGTTTGATTCGTTTTGTTTACTCCCCCGCTTAAGTTCTGTCTTAGCATTGGAAATCTTGGTGAAAACTGAATTTGAAATAACACACCCCAAAACTATTTTGCAAGGCCACTTATGCGACAACCAAGAGCGATTGAGAACAACAATATTTTTCGGTGATTTAGACTGAGTATAATTTAAAACAAAACACCACTGATATTCGTTTGTTTCAGCACCGCACCATCGGCAGAAGTTACAGAGAACCGGAAAATTTGAAGACATCCGTTTGGAGGATGTAAAAATTCCGTTTGAGGACGATCAGTCAGACAGGAACAGAGAACGCCAACGGCTTATTGATCCGCCCGGTGTTTACCACAGCAAGGACCGTCCTGGTCGGTCTTTGAAACTGCCAAAGAATTGAAGAATTGTGCTTGGGTTGACTCACCTTAAAGTTTTCAAGTGCAGTGTGAAGTGTGATTGCTACAGTCCAAAGTTTTCAATACGAGTGTTGGAATATAATCAAGCCCGCAAGTTGTTTTGACTAGAATCAAAAGACATGAAACAATGCATGTATCGAGTTTTTAGACTTTAGTTTCATGTATTTCGATTAAACAGCCCTATGATTAAGCTTATTTTACTTAATTGCCCAGGTCATCAGTGAGCCATTTTTTTGCGAAACTTTTGCGTGAAAGAATTAGTTTGTAATTAATTGCTCCTTCGAATGAATTTTAAAACGTGAAAAATGTACGCATTTACTCATAAACATTAATAGCAAAATAATGTTATCAACATGAATAAAGAGTGTGAACTTGAGGCAAACGTCTGCTGTTTTGTTTGACAGATGTGTAAGTTAGGGTCAGTTCAAGAAAAATAGTACGGCCTCTGTCACAAGTAAACGTTGTCAAACCAGGAAGAGGAAAAGTTGCTTTACAAGTGAAATCTCAGCTAGTAATTCATGGTCTTCCTCAAAATAAGGAACGTTAATTCAGAGTGGAACAACTCACCTGGCTGGGGCTCCAGTGGCAAACTATTCATTTACTGTGCTATGCGAACTTCACACTGCCTTAGTATATTCTATTGCAGACGACGTTTCGCACCGTTAGTAAAGTTAAAGTTGCGGTAATTGCGAAATTCTCTTAGGAATTTTATGTAGAGAATTTGATCGGTCTGATTTGTTTGAAGATGACCACTCTAACGTTTGATGCAAACTAACAGTTCCGAATCCAAACTGAAATCACTCTTCATCCTTTAACCTTATTTTCACTCATTTTTTTTTCCCTCGGTGGACTCACTTTAAACAGAAGTTAATGAGAAAAAGTTAAATTCCCTGTCCCCTTAAATTAAGGGACAAAAAAAACTAATAGATAAATTAGAAATTTCAAACAAATTTGATTTTTTCGGGTATGAGAAGAATCACGCGTGTCACGCAATAAGGGCTGTAACAGCGATGTCCTTAAAAAGCGGTCGACAATGGTCTCCATAGTAACTCATTGCTCTACGATTCCGTTCGCCGCAGGGAAGCAGTAGTTGGTAGACATGGACTTTTTCTGACGCCGAATTGTCTCTCTAATGGGGATAAAATGGTTCTTCCATTCGAACGGCAGCCTCTCTTACACAAGAGATACGCTTCTCTCTCTTCTCCAGAGCTCACACGGTTCTCTCAAGGCGAAAGCGGCGATGCGTCGAGAGGAGACGAGTATGCGAATTTTCTCAAGTGAGCGAATCTTTGTTTACGCTAGAATAGTAAGACTAGTTTATAATGTGTAACCAAATAATATGTATGACGAGTCTATTTTAAATGAATAAGTTAGTTTGCGGTGGTTTGAGGCAGATTCTATTAAATTCTAGCTCGTTTTGATTAAATGTTAGCGCCTTGAATTGGATGTCCGCCTGCGATCGATAGCAGAATAATAAGTTAGCGAGATATCAAGTGGTTTCATATTTCGAACTAATGAGCATAAAGAATATTGTTTTGACTTTTTATTTCAACTTAAATAGATAGTATGATTTTATTAGTGGTATAGATTTTGTAGCTTAAGTGCTCTAAAACAATTTAAGAAAAAGCCAAACGTGCGTGATAATTGTAACATACTTGTGGCTCTAATCTCTTTGTGATCGATCACTCTCAAATATTAACACCGCATTTCATTTGCTGTCATTTCAATTACGCTCCAATGCCAATGGATGAAAACGTCAATATTTGTTTCGAAAATAAATCCCTGTTTTCTTAGTTTCCCCTCTTTTGAAGACAATGATCGATCAATTTGCTTTTATTTTCCTATGCCGTCTCAGTATCTGTAATTCCCTTTGTCTCAAAATGTAAGTTTCCAGGGGCAACCTCTAAAAGAAGCTTCAAACTATGAGACACCTGGCAAACAAGCTATAAGTACAAATCCGTTATGAATAATGTAGTCAGTTTAACTAAAAAGAAGAATAATATATGCTGGCATGCTCTTAATGATTTAGAGTGATTGGTCTAAAATAAGGTCTCATGAGGGAGCATAATTTTTGAGAATGTTTAATTTTCCTTTTATGAACCTCATAACTCTTACATGTGACTCTTAACTTTCTCTTTGGTATGTTATGGGTATCTGTCTTCGTAAATCAGCAATGAGAATCAGCTTTTAGGCATTAGGCAATGCCCTTAACAACCCACCTCCTGATGATTTGATGTAAGGAGGAGTTTCTAGATTACATCTGTTCTGGGAAGTAAAGGTTTTAAGGAAATAGTTCATTTAGGGGCAAGGGTGGGTTGTAGTGTGATTTTCAACCCTTTAAGTCCCACTAGTGACCTAGACAGAATTTCTCCTTACATTATCTGTACAATATCAAGAAGACAAGTAATGAGAATAAAGAAAAATATCAATTAGGGGATTTTTGGTTGATCAAGTTCCAAATTCTCCAAACTAACTTCACATAAATTGTATGGTAGACAGAAAGGAGAATTACTCATGAAATCTTGGGAGCTAAAGGGTTAATGAATGCTCCAGCTTAGTGGCATGTTTGTAGCAGAGATCAAGACTAATTAGATTAGACAGACAAATAGTTATCATGAGTGTGATTTGTTGTTATTGTGTTTGACGAGTGTTGCAAAACCTCACCAAAGAGCACCAGCTACACTAGGGTCTTGAATTTGATCAGCTAGGGAAGGAAAGAACACTCTCACTGATGAAATTACTGATGTGTTGAACCCTCAGTTTTGGCAGGTATTGGCTCAGCTGCCCTGTTTCACATATTCATAAAATGGTAACTAGCAATTGACAAAGCAAATCAAATTGTTTTAAAGAAGGACATTACTATCAAGGAAAATAATCTCTTTCCTGTATGGGTTGTAGTTTATTTGGTAAATAACAGATAATTGGTTGAACATCAGTGATTCTCTTGGTAATGGCACCATCTTCTTTTAATGATACCAGGTCATTAGCAAATGGAGAACGGCAAGATGTTGGGGTGTCAAGGTGATGTTAATTCTATTGTATTGTTTTAATTGCTGTTAATCAAGGATTTAGAGTTCAGGTATATTTATTGTTACTATAAACAGTATGGCAAACAATGACAATGTAACTGACATACTTTCATGTGACATTTTTCCAGACCTAAGCCACTTGCTGGAAAGCAAGGCCGATCATCGCCAACAACAAAAGACCCAAAGCAGGCTAAATATAGGTTGTCACCAAACAGAAGTGATGGTCTGCTTCATGTAACATTAACTGCAAAACAAAATATACAGGAACACCAGAAAAAGATGAGAGTTATTGAGGTGAGGTTGGACATAATGGAGCTGAAGATGCTGTCCAATTTCAATCTTGTTTGTTTTGTGGTGTTTTTGGTTTTGTTTTGTTTTGTTTTTTTGTGTGTGTTTTTCTGAGTAGGCTGGTTATTTTATTTTCTTTGATGTTCTTTGGAAACATTTTAAATAAGTTTACTCTATTTATTTACCTTTTTTGTTCTGTGACTCTTTGTATGTTTTGAGTATAACAGTTTTCGTAAACATTTATGAAGCAAAGCTGACAAGAGAAGGACTTCTTGCTTCTCTGCAATAATGTAAACCATCAGCTCTTTGGAACCTTCAAGAGTGACTTAATCACCAAATTTCTCCTTACAGATTTCCCACTCAATAAAGCTGTATTAGGTCAGAATGAGTTCTCTATTGTTCCACATATCCTGTAGAGAAAAAGAATAGGGAAAGTTAAGAGAAAAGTGTTGAGAATCTGCACACTCATGTTGGGGTGTAAAGGATTCAGAGAGAAGTGAACAATTTCTTGAACATTATGTGTGATTCAGTGGTTTATTTGATAGGATCATATGCTGCAACATAAACAAGAGGAAAGAGAACTGAAACGTTATGAAGGAGATATCATTAAGAAACAGCATCATCTCAGAAGAACCATGGCAGAATATGAAAACAGTAAGTCTTGAGATTTATTGAACAACTACTTATTTATCTACTTGTATATTTTAAATTTGTGGTAATTCATTCAAATTGTGCTTGCACATGTCTAGCAGTAATCAAAGAACAAATAACTAAGAAATAAAAGAAAAAGATTGTAAGAGAAGAAATACATGTAAAAATGTATCTTATATTCAAGTAATATTGGTTTTGTTTGTCATCTTTAAGAAAAACAAACAAATAGAAAATGTTATTTCAATCAGGAAAAAGTTAACTTAAGTTTCCGAAGTAATCTTAAGATAAGACCAATTTTCATGAGTGAATCAGCAGTAAAGTGTCTTGAAAGAAGACCAGGGGGAGGAAGAAAGATAATTTTCAGCTTAAATGAGCAAAGTTTCTCATTATTGTAATGAAAGATAAGACAGTAAACACACACAAAAATTCATGAAAAGAGCAAACTGATAGGAACTCTTGTTTTAAAAGCAAGTGCTCCTTGATTACTAATCTGTAATGTTAATAAAATGTTCTGCTTATTCTGATAAATTGTTTTTGATTTCACATTCTTAAAACCATTTATATTTTTATTTTAATATTCTTTGAGATGTATTTATGAATATTATTCATAACCACGTTATCATAATCTCAGACAAGTGGAAAATTAAGAAGTCAAAGGCATTGACTTATTTTAATAATTGAAAAAATAATTTAACCAAAAGTTGTGAATCTTTTTTTCTCCTTTTCAGGTATTTACAAAAAAGTGAGAGGTGAAGAAAGTAAGCTTAGTGAGAACAATCAGGGCGTGGAAAGAGTTAAACAGCAACATGCCATACAGGAGGACAAAGTCAACAAGGCAAGAACTGAGAGGAACATGTCTGCTATTGTGAAATTTAAAGACAAAGATAGGAAGGAAGGATTAAACCTGTAAGTATTGTGGCAGTGATCAGGGTCAGTCAGACTGCAATTCTATGATGTCAGGGTTTGAACATGGGAACATTGGGAGGGGTGCCAAGTGACCCAGTAATTACAGCTTTAGCTTGAGGACAGATCTATAAATCCCTTTAAATGGTGTGACCAGGCAGCTAAAATGGTGGCTTACCACTCTATAATGTAGGTTAAAGTGCTTGGGATTCTTGACATGATACATGTACACCTAATGGCAATATTGAATTTTGTGCACTTTGTTAACTTTACTAAGCAGTGGTGATTTTTCAATTTTACCAACATTGTTTTTTTTTGGGGAGGGGGGGAGGTTCTCAAAGTATGCACACGTAAACTGCTGAAAAGTGGTCTTCCTTTAAACATATTTGGATATTAGAATGTATTCATTAGCTGACTCCCAAGGGGTTTTAACCCCATTGCAGCTTTTCAAAGGTCGCACCTTTTAGAAAACACCTCTGCACATGGCAGAGGTTTATGTGGAATTAATTTGGATGGTATAATCTTGTTAGACTCAGGCTCTGGTTAAGTCTGTTGTATTGTCAGTGCCAGTAATGACAAAACACTTCATGATGTCCCAATGCCTTTCTCCACCCAGGAGCACAAAGTGGTATCTGTGAAGGGTCATCATTACATGGGAAAAAAGCTGCAGAATTAATCCCATTTAAATATTGTATGAAGACATATATTGAAGTTGATGATTTTTTCAGCTTACAATGTATGTTTGCTCCTTCAGGGGTGAAGTGGAGTTTCAGTACAGTAAAACAGCCAAGCAACTAGAGCTGACTCGTACAGAAATCTTTTCACTAACTCAGCAGTTTGAAGAGAATCTGAAAAGAATAGAGGTATAAGTTTTTTCCATGATACAAATGCATATGATTAGATTTGGATTGCTTTGGTTAATGTCAAATGTGACCTTTAATTGAATTAGTTACTCAAAAATGACTTCAGCTAACTACATCAACACAACAATGACACTTGTTCAATTTGATTAATGTTGAAAATATTGTCTATTGAGTCAGAAGTGAATTGAGTTCTTATGGGATTGCCAAATGGAAAAGTGCATCTCCCAAAATCTCCACCCACTCTCGTCAGGGTTGATTTATTCCAAGTTATACCATCTAAATTTGCAATCAGGAGTACTCAGAACTGTTGTCATTTTGTGATGTCATCATCTCTTAGTTACCACAAGAAGACCTTCATCATTCAGTTATGAAACCATACGAGATGATAAATTTAGGAATACAGAATTCAGTAGTTAATGTTTATGTAGAAACAACTTTATTTTTCAACAGGAAAGGGGATTTGAATTGAAAAAGAGTTTGGCTGAGCTTGCCATTGCAGCAAACAAGATGGCGCTGAAAAAGAGAACACAACAAACGGATGATGACAGGTATTAGAATCACATGAAATCTGAATGATTATAGAAAACAACAAAACAAAACAAAATGAATTTAATAAAAAGCTGACAAAAACAATACTACAATGAGCGGCAGAATGCTTGTTGAATATGGAAGCGATCTTTGCAGTAATGAACACCACTTAATAGGCAGTAGTGAAAATGAGGCCTGAAAAAAATTCATGTCATTAGGGGATTTGAGTCCATGATTTCTGCGATATCGGTGCAGAGCTCTACCAACTGAGCTAACAAGCCAACTGGGAGCTGGTCATTGCACTGATTCCAAATTAACCAGTGAAGTAATGAGTAACTGACTGTAAATATATGAAAGTCATACACAGTGTATGTGAATTGCAGATAAAGAAATGAATATGGAAGTGATATTCACAGTAATTAATTTTTTTCAGGCCTTATTTTCACTACTGCTCAAATGTAGTGTACATTACTGCAAAGATCACTTCCATATTCATTTCTTTATTTGCATGTCACATTATTATGTGATTTTCACATATTTACTGTTAGAATACTTGTTCTTGGACCATTTTTGAAAATGGCTTGGCATGGTATCTTGATGGTTAATTGCAGAATTGTCAAATCAGTGTAAGGTTTTTTAATTTTCAGATATGTAAAGGACACAAGCATCAAAGATATTCAGGTTTGAGATTTAAACTCTTATACCCATAGTTAGAAGAGATGCACATGTATTTTTTGTTTCAAGCATTTGTTTGGTTTGCTTGTCTCTTTCATGCTTGCTTCTTTACTTTAGCATATAAAGCACCAGATTTTTCATGTGTATATTTTCTTGATAGGATGACAGACGACGTAAACAAAGCTTGACAGAAAAACTCAAGTAAGTGGAAAAAAAAAAAGAAAAAAAAAAAGAAATGAGCTGATGATTCTTGACAGTTTGGCTTACAGTTTGTAAATATATATATCGTATACTCAAAGACTAAGTAGGAGGGCTGGACTGGAACATATATGGCTTTTAAAGACGAAGAAAGACTTTCTTTTTTTTCCTCTTTGTTTGAGACCCTATCAGCCCAACTTACTAGTAACCTATATATTGGTATCCCGTAATCAGCACCTGTGATTCCTCTATCAGAATAGTTTTGTTATGTTGGCACAGATTTCAAGAGAAGCTTAGTGTCTTCAACCTGTGTCTTGTGTGTCTCCTATCGGTCTGCGCCTCACTCCCAGAGTTCCGCACGATGCGCTAACATCCATTTTTTTCCACTGTTTTTTCTCACTCGCGCGACAGACTTCGCCGAGAAGGAGGAACTGCTCTTAGTGTAGTCCTCCAGCAGCCTCTCCAATTTCTTTTTCCTTTCTAAGTAACGGAAATGTATTTGTTGTTAATCAACATATGATACTGTTCATTATATTGCAGAGGTATAGAAAACCAAGGACTTAAACATGAATACGGCAAGCGGCGTTTGAGCAGGGACTTGATGGTCTCCAAAGACATGTTGTCCTTAAAGTCAAGGGAAGGTAGGTTCACATTTCTATTCTCGTTTTATGATTGAAAAACAGATAAACAAACTAACAAACCTAGTAGTAGGTGTCTAACAAACGGTTTAGGAAACGAAGCAAAAACAAAAGTCAGGTACAACGAATTACATGTTCACAGAGCACTTTTCGATTGAGAGTCGTAAAACCCAAACCAAAGTAATCGCAACGCCGATCAGAAGAAAGGGAAATTTTTAGGAGCGATTAGAATTTGGTACACTTGTACTGCTTTAAGTTTGCAGATCGAAAAGTGTGCACGTGAGATCAGAAAATTTACCATACACTCAGAATGTCACATTTCCTCTTACCAGCCAAACTGTTCCCTATGCTGCTTAATAATCCCAGCTCACAACATTACTTTCAGCTTAATGTTGTATCTCTTTCTCCTGCTCTTGTTTCAGAGGGTAGAAAGATGACCGATATTAATCGTAGGCTTCAACACAATTCCGTCAGCCAAAAGCAAGCTAAGCAAGCGGCAGAATATCTGGAACTTGATCGACAAGGAAAAGAGATTGAGGAACGAGGCCAGGTAAGGGCATGAAAATGGCATTACTAAATGTTCTGGTTATTGGGAATGAAACCTCACGATGCAATTATGTGTGTTTTTCTGTTTTTTTTTTCTCCTCTTGATAGTCTACACGTACCCTAAGTTTATTCGCAAGTCGCGAAATGCACGAGCATTTAACGCATTGTTCTTAAATTTTTTCATCAAATCACTTACGTGTCACGACGATTTCTTTTTGTACGCCTACTTTGCACTCCACACGAATTTCTTTTTAATGACTTAGGAAAAACTCTTGCATTATTTGAATTAATCATTCCATACATTAAATGTGCTAGTCATACCAACCTTATTGTTTTAGCTTATTCAGACATTCATCATGGACCGTTCAGGAACGAGATATTTTATTGAGTAAAGAAAACACACTTAAATGGAAAAACCTCGCGTTTTGAACGTCAACCTATTGGCAGACTTTTATCCTATGTGGCCTATTGCTGCAGAAATGATCTCTATTTCATCAGACAGGAATAAACTCTGGTGCAGCAAGCCACTTGGCTTGAGTGCAGACTTAACCCTTTATAATTGTCAGATGAGGCGGGATTTTAAGCTTGATTTCATCATTACTTTACTCTGTCAGTTTGCCGAGGCTCGCAGAAGCCACCAGATTGAGCAGCTGACAAGGGAAAGAAGACAGCAACACTCGCAGCAGATGACTGAGTGGAAGAAACGTTACTTAGAAAAACAGAACGAGGCCACTCGGCGTGCCCATGAAGACAGCGTCAAACATCTACAGGTGACTGATATTTCTAGACCTGGTCCGTGGCATGCTTTGCATTTTTTCATGTACTTCGTCACGGTTGCTCCATCTTCAAAAATTTAGAGAGGAGAAAAAAAAAGAATTTTAAAAACAGGCACCCCTTCATGTTCATGTGTATTGTGGGGATATACGCTTTAACCCCCAACCATACGAGTTACTGTGTGAAGGATGATAATATGAACAAATCATCAACCCGCTCTCTCTTTCCAATTTTGTTAGCTGATTCATCATAAAAATTTGCGTATCAACTACCGGAGCCATGCTGTTTCGTACTACAAGTGTAACGAATCGATTTCTAATTATAAATTCGAGAAAGGTCTATCTAAAGCCTCTCCAATCTACTAATTAACTTTCAACCTCTTTGTATCTACCATGACGTTTAGAAAATTGTGAACAAGATGGAGGAAACAGAGCATGCTCTGTACAATCGAGTACGTGCCGCTGAAATGCAACGCCGAAAACAAGAACAGGACGTACAAAGAATCTTTGTCGAATTGGAGCAACTGTCCAAAGAAAACCAGAAGAAAATGAGGGTTTGTACCAGTGATGTGCAGTGTATTGTCTGTAGCTCTAATTAGGAAAAAGTTAATCATAGTCATAGGCTTTCAAATTTCCACGTAAATATGGTGAGACAAGAATCACCTGCTGGGCTCCAAAGAAGACAGAAAAACAATTCTGTGCTGCTGTTCTGTACTTGTTCAGTGACTCTCCTGTAAACAGAATTTCACTACGAAACAAGGAAAAGATAAAGAGGAGGGCGTATGAAGGGAAAATATTTTTTATTGGAGTGAGGTTATGGAAGGAATCATCTTTTTACATAAAAATATTTGGGCCTATAGAAGGGGGAAAGAGGTGTGTAGCATATCACCAGGAGCTTTTAGTGCGGAACAAGCTCAAATTCCCAGCTTTGCATTAGTCCCTTTTTTGTTTCGTTTGACGAAACATTTCTTCCTGAAAAGATTTTGCCATCCTAAGGTTTCTTGGAAAATGCTTGTGATCCTACGTCTCACAAGTTTTCATTTCAGAATGGACTTCTTGTTGTTGCTGTGTTATATGGACGAGGATCACTTTACCCATATTTCCTTCTCTTTGACGTTCTAGATCATTTTCCGTCATTAGTCCTTGTGCGATCTGTCTTTGTTTTCTCTTTGTTTAGAGGTGTTAGCCAGTATTCCAAGTACGCGATCTTGTTAAATGTTCTTCCTTTCCGTTAAAATATTAGTTTTCTACTTGCAGGAAACCCAGGAACAGTTTGGCCGAAAGAAGGTTGAGTTGGAACAGAAGCTCTTACGAGAGAAAGCTGAACTAGCAAAGGTAGGTAATCTGTGCTACGTTGTTCCAAACTCGATTGACACTGATCTCAGGCTAGCTACAAACGAAAAGAATAGTAAAATAAAGTAAAATAGAAATGGGAAAAAACGGAAAGAAAGTAAAAATTAATAATTGTTGCTTTTGATGCGTCAAGCGTCTCGAATAAGATAACAAGGGATGTATTCTTTTGGACAAACTTTTCGGATAATGTCTCCCCTCCTCGTGTATGCTCGAATCAACTGTAGCTAGACGGAATGTGGACCGTGCAGATAAATTGTATATGTTATGGTGTGATTAAGCACCTTGTAGAAATATTTATTATTTTAATTCGTTTTAACATCAGTGTAATGTAATATATGACCCCCCCGTTTCTCCACCATCCTTTCTCTTTTGATAGCAGCAGTTTTCCAGCGCATCGCTCGTTTATTCGAACGAACTTGTAAGCGGTTCGTTTTATTTTTTCGTGTTCGTTTGTCGTCTTGATTTTGTTTTCGTTCCTTTTCCTTCTTAAAATTGTTACTATTATTAGAAAAAACTGCTCACATAGCAGCACTATACTTGCCCCTCGCTGGTTTGCGTGACCGTGTGGCTTTTGCTCGACATTTCTAGGCCCACAATCAGCGGGAAGAAAGCATCCAAAGGTTACTACACCACAGAGCGAAGATGAACGGCGACAAATACTTACTGTCTGAGGAAGAAAGGGTAAGTGGGTGCTATGCAAATGTAGTCTGTATGGTTTGATCGACGAGGGAAGTCTCGGGGAGTGCGCTGCGTTATACTTATCAAAACGTCGGGAAAAAGTGAGATAGAGCAGATTATGACTTTAAGACAGGTGTCTGCCTCATTAACAATTGGAGTTCGAGCTCGAGATTTCTATCATGTGATAGTTGATGAGGGCCAAGCCCGAATCAACTTTCACGTGATCGAGAACAAGTAATCTCACTGTTTTAGTCGAAATCTACTGATCTTTCTATGCTAAACAAGACGCGCTCATTTTTCGCAACTTTTCCGCTTCTCATCCAACGCACTATTTATCACGGAATAGATAGCGAGAGGCGTAGCCAATCAGATTGCAAGATTTGTGAGGGAACTTTCGAAGATCTATACTGATTTCCGATATCAACTTTATGAACTGTCCTCTTACATATGACTCAGGTTTTTACTGTGTTCTTCCATTCTATGATCATTTGAGATCTGTTTCAGATAATCTATACCCTAATATACTTATATCATCATTTGCACTTCACACAGGAGCATGATCGTCTCGCCAAGATCGGGCAAAGAACAGACAATTTGGAGCAGGAAGTTCATTCATGAATACCGCCAGTAGTCTCTGCCGAGCCTACGCAGCAGAAGCTCGCCAAGTGCGCGAGTTACAAGTGAGCGAAAGAGAAGCACTCGTCGTGTACGCCATAACCTCTTTCCCGCGCGTGTCGCTCCAAATAGCTTGCGCAAGGTTGAGTCGAGTGTCTGCCACGTAGGCTAAGGTAGCGTTAGACTGATTAGCGTGATGTGTTGCTTTAATGCGCATTTGATGTTAATTTGTAGGTACTAGTTTTTAATACATGTATGAGTGATTTTGAAGATAGGCTGAAGGTATTCCTCGCAATCGGGTGGGCTATGTTAGTTTCCTTCCCTTTATAAGTATCGCTCGATACGCTCTAACGGCAGACCCTTATTTTCCTATCTAACAATACATTAACGTTTTATTTTGTTCCAGTTTATTTCAGTATTTGTTTTTGCTTATTTGTATAAAATTTTTTGCTTATTTTTTTTTAGTCAAAGGTCTCCTAAAACTCGTCTTATATACAACAGAAGGTTGGCAATATTGACTGTATCAGGAAGCTAGAGAGGCAGTTGCTAGGTTAGTTCAGTTTAAGCGAGAGAAGATAAAGTTCTAAGTTACACTCAGAGGTAGGTATATCAGGTATAACTTGTAAAATCTTTTTGTGAGCTCAAGGCAATGTTCCTGAACATTCTCAAAATAACTATATATAGTATTCATAAAATGATTGGTATCACGTTCTTATTACAGCAAGGCTTCACTTGACAATTTTCCACGTAAAAAACTTCGCTCTCGGCTTATAAGATGTGAATGCACGCTGCATGTTTCAACTTCACGTGAGTTCTGTCTCTGGTAATCATGTCAGGGCTAGGAGTCTTGAGAGAAGTGTTGGTTGACTTAAGTTGAATTATTTTTGAATTCACAACATATTATGGAAGAAACCGCATTATTTTTCTTATCTTTTGAAAAGTAAAAAGTTTCTAACTTCTTTATTTGAGATTTCAAAGATTTCGTCTAAACTTTAGAGAATATTCCTCAAACTTTTTGAAAAATTAGAGTGCGGACGCCGCTATTTTTAGAGAAACTCATTGATCTGATTGTGCACACATGAAGTATTACTCATGCTTAGCCGGGTAGGCCCCAAACAGCTGCTGCACCAGCCATTGCTAAAAAAATCTTTATCTGGTTAAAAAACGCCATATGTGGGACCTAATTGTTTAAACAGATAGGAAGGTTACTTTTTTGGAATAACAAAATGCGAAATGTGCGCAAATTTCATGCGTGGTTTTAATAGCAGATTTACAGTGGCATGGTTTCTGGGGCATGTTTCTACCTTGAATAACACTATAACGCCTTACTAAGTTTGAAAAAGCATATTGATCAAATTAATAAGAAATTTATGAATTTTACAGGTGGATTAGGGCAAGTGAGTGTTTTGAATTGTCTTATGCCTTCTAAAGAAGGTTTCTCTTATGTTAGCAGGTCGATTAGCTTTAATAATTTCTAAATCATTGTTGTAAAGTGAAGGGTGGCTTTCGCGCTCAGTTGTTGTTTTGACAAAAAATACCTCTGTAAGGTGAGTGCTGTGGAGAGGAAGCATAGGAATAATTTCTCAGCATTAGGCGTGAATGAAGCCTGTGATAGCGGAAGGGAACGAAGTGCACGAAGAAGATTTTTGGATTATGTACAAAAAATGAAAGCAATGTAAACAAAATTTAATTCTGAGCTTTGCACGACAGGTGTCGATTTTAGTCATGTAATGTAAGTAAGAGTTTATATTTTACTGAAAGATGTGCTAGGTTTATGCAATTAGAGCGCTTAGATTCTGATACGATTACAACCGCGAGTTCGAGGTTTTCTAGTTTTTAAACAGTGAGCATGCGTGAACAAGTGTTTATAAAGCGGAATAATTCAATAATGAACTAGTTTGTGGGAAAATGTTGTAGTGTAAAAAACAAGATACAGGACACGTTAGCGGTTTTACAGTTTTACAACCTGAGAAAGGCTCAATTTCCTCCATTGATTATAGGCATGTTAGTATTTCGCTCTTCACTTGACGTCAAATCTTCTTGTAATCAAACTCTTCTTACAATCTCAAGGCCTCTAATGGTGTTTGTTATGTCCTTTCTGGAAAATGGGTAGGGAAAAGGTTATGATTTTGATATCGAGTGATATTGAGTGGATTAAAATGTGTGATATTTACACACCTGTGAATATTTCAAGTAAATTATTATTGTTTTATTTTTGTAAGAAGTGGCTTGGAATTTTTATTCAAGGGGTTGGGTCAGACTGTTTTAGTGCATGGTCGTGACATGCTTTGAAATGTCAAAATCACAAATTGAGATGGAAAGAAAAAACTTCAACAGCTTGTCTCATTACAGGCTTCATGTTTGGTAAGCAAATGCTTATTACATTGGTTGATTGTCGAAGCCGCAATAATGGATTGGTAAGATCGGGGAAAGGCTGGAGCGAACTTGTCTGTTCTCATCACTACCACCCCCCTCTAGAAACCGTTTTTTCTCGCCCTAGATATTCCCTTACCTTACAACTGCGATAAAGCGGCCTGAGCTCTCAATTGGACCATTCATAACCTGCGTGTCCAAAGTAACCATTCTGGTAGCTAATAAATCAATTCAAGAGAGCTTAATCTCTTTTGATCAACTACTTTAACAAAATGAGTACAGATAAGGTCTTCTTGAGCAACGAAGAAAGTTTCTCTTTATTTGAGCTCATCATAAAGTTGTGTGGTACTGATTTGATAAGTAAAGGCGACATGAATGCTATCTCACTGGTCAGATAAAGACATGCATCCTTTTACTTTGGTGTAATGATTACAGTTGCCTTCTGTTGATAATTTCTCTATCTTGATTGCCAAAACGTTTTCCTTAGTCCCCCCAAACTAGCTTGCAGTCTTATTAGCGCGAGTTGACGCGACTAACTTGTCATCGTTCATACGACCGGCCATGTTTTATTTAGAGTTGTAGTGGGGGGAGGGGGGGGGGCGGGGAAAAACAAATCGAAGAGGACACAGATACGTCGCCCTTGCTGATATATTGGATTGTGTAAAGCCTTCAAAGTAATTCTCGCACGCCCATGTTTTATTTAGAGTTGTAGTGGGGAGGGGGGGGGGGGACGGGGGACGGGGGAAAAACAAATCTAAGAGGACACAGATACGTCGCCCTTGCTGATATATTGGATTGTGTACAGCCTTCAAAGTAATTCTCGCACGCCCTTGTAAAACAGGAAATACTCTGATGTATGCCGGAAGGGTTATGACGAGAGGAAATGTTGACTGAATGTGAACATCTTGAACAAGTTAAAAAGGCAAACATCAATCTTAAATCCCATCTACTCTAAGGCCGTCAACATAAATAATCGACAAGTAACAATGGATAATTATCAGTTGCTGGAAACAGACTTTCGCATTAAAGTACCGTGCGATTTCAATAAAAAATATTAATCGTCATTGTTAGATAGCGTCTATTCAGAGGTACAATTGAAAACCCCCGGGTAAAAGGTACGAATTTAAGACCCCTGGATATAAGGAACACTTTCACGGTTCACGAACGATATCAAAATCTGCGCACGGACACCTAGATGTAAGATTTTACGATCTATATAACCATTTGGGCACGAGAATACACACTTTATGTAACAATGATGATTTATCTAAGGTGGTTTTTATCAAAATTGTACGGTAGTTTTTTATAAAGGTCTGTTCCCAGCTACTGATTATGATCCGTAACGATAGCCTGTGAATGGGCGAAGGCTTGACTTCACAAGGACGAAAATAAGGATCAATAAACCACAGAGAAGACCATGCTGTCACCAAGAGGATAGATCTGTTGATTCTGAAGTACTCTGAACCTTTCACGCCCTTTATATTAACAGTGGAGGATGTTTTCGGCTCCAAACGCAACCGTGAATCGCATAACCACCTTTCCACTACAAACTACGCTGCCGACGTAAAGATGTATTCCAACAGTGAAAGCTTAAATTTCCGAAAAGGCTCCCGTAAGCAACGTACGCGGTTTCTGTACTGAGCCACTAGGATGAAGCAATTTGAAACAATTGTCAAAATTGATAGCAATTCAAAGGATATTCAACTCCCTAGAAAAAGGAACTTCTCAATTCAGTTGTCACGATTTTGCGTGGTTGATATAGAATTTTCTTCTTTGAGTGCGTTTGAACCAGACTGATATTCTCTGGGGTTTTGAAACCTTGAAATGCCTCAAAGTAACACTGAAGAATTTTGCATAAAGCATTGTGGTATTCAACGACTATAAAACAAAAAATTAAAAGTTTCTTAAGCTTTACTTATTAAATCTGCCTCGTGCCTATACACCGTTCATGTACATATTTAGACGTGAGTATTCCGCCTCTACAGAAAACATGCTCCATAGCTTCCATTGGTTCATAATGAAAAAACGATCGTTGAATACTGTCAGAATGAGACGAAAATTTTAGATCTAATATTTTGATAAGCGCTACCGCTCATAAAGCAGTTTAAAATACGTCGAATAGCATTCGAAGCAACGAATATTTCCAGGCAATCAGCACACTCGGGACCTTAAAAATATTTTACAAAATCAGACTTACCGTCAGTTATAATCATACACAACCTGGGGTTAGGAGAGGACTTTAATCAGCCAAAATGTTCCAAATCCTGCTGGTAATTTTTTCTTTGGGTGAGTACAAACCTTCCTTTATTTGTTTTTTTTTGTGGAAACATGGACGAATCCCATAGAATCCTCTAAACGGAGAAAAACCTTTGATCAGAATGCAGGTGATGCATCCATCATAACAGACATATCGCGTCGCTTAAAAGGACACAAAAACAACTTAAAATAGGTTACAGTGTTTATTTTCACAAGACAACACCCATGCACTCCGAAATAATTCTTGCAGTTTCTCCCGAGATTTAGCATACGGAACCCGGCGACATTTCCCTGCGACCATCAAAATCAATTGGACAAACTTAGCGTGATGTATTGCGTGACGTGATTGTGCAAACTTCTCTCTTCGTCATTCGACCTGTTTCGCAGATTCTACAAGTTAGAACCAAAATTAGTTAATGTAACGAATTAGAATCGAAAGTTATTAAAACTAACTGAAGAATTTTTACATTTTAATGAGAATTTTATCTCTTAAAATGTTAACTACATTTATGGAAAGCAAAGATTGGAGTGGCTTTGGATATTTCAGCCCTGATTTGGAAAAAATAAAAACAGTTATTAAACAGTTATTGGTATGTTCTAAACATCAGAGCACCAGAGAGGACACTAGAAATGTAGTAAAAGTATTTTTTAGCATCCAGAGCAAAAAGAAGAATGTGAGGCATTGAACTCAATAAAATTTACCTGGAAGGCATTAACTTTCTTTTGTCACGAAACTCGTGGATTTTAAAACTTTGAAACGACGCTCAATGAATCCTGAAACTGGAGTTTGAGTCCATTGGTAAACTATGCCAGCTGGTCTCATGAGCAGATCAAGCTCTGACGAAATCTGACAGTTTTAAAATTTTAAGCGGATGCAAAAAATCGAGACAAAAATTTGGCATGACACAATTTGTCCTTTGATTTTGTCAAGAGAATTCTGGTTTTGTCTTCTATTATAGATTAGATGGGCATTTACGAATCAATTTTTAGTTAAATTTCTCGAGAAATTGCAAATATGTTACCCATGTGATCCTACTACAACTTTAATTCCGAAAACTTCGAAAACATCTCCAGTCAGTCTGGCTTTCTTTTACTGCCTCACATAGTTTTTCCTTGTGTTGTGGCTGTTAACAAGTACTCTAACTGCATTTCCAATGTTTCTTAAAGTGTTCGGATGTTTAGAACATACCAATAACTTTTTTTCCAGAGAAACAAAATTAACTTGTAATCGAGGATTTCGCTGGATAGCTGACAGTACTTCAAATGACTCGATACGTCGTTCCGGCATTCCAGGAGAGAAATGAGGGCTGAAATACCCAAAGCCGCTCCAATCTTTGCTTTCCATGAATTAAGTAAACCTTTTTAAAAGTTAAATTCTCATTAAAATGTTATTCAGTCCATTTTAATAACTTTCGATTCTATTCGTTACACTAACTAATTTTGGTTTCAATTTGTAGAACCCGTGAAACAGGCCAGATGGCAAGGGAAAAATTTGCACAATCACGTCACGCCATGAGCTACATTGTTGCAGTCGCTGCGCGCTGAACAAAATCTTTGAAATTTACACTTTCGATCGCTGTTGACAGGGGTGGTCTGGCCAAAAATAATTTTTTTGGCTTGTGGCGGCGCAAAAAAAGAGAATTGGATTGAAAAAAAGAGAATTGAATGTGTCCTAAACCCTTTTCACAGGCAAAAAATAAAAGAAAACTTTTTTCCGACGGGAAGTCGAGACGACCGCTCTTAGCGAGAGTGGCACTTAATAAATATTACATTCGTACATATTTTGCTGATTTAATGACAACTAAGTATGTAAATATTTCCTAACACCCCTTGAAAAAAAAATTAACATATGGATTCTCATATTCCAATTAATCCTCTCTGCATCTTTGATCATATGGCAAGATGTCTCCCATGCGATAGGCGCCAAGCAGGGTTCCTGAATACAAAAGAATCGAACTAAATAAGTAAATAAGAGAAAGAGATTCGATTAACTAATGAAAAAAGGATTGAGTCAATAACCAAAAAAACAACAACAACGACAAGAGATCGACGAATAGACGGAATGATCTTGCAAATATGAACCCTTAACTCTCATAAATGACCGTGACCTTAGTCTTAAAGAACCTATTTCGGCCACTTTAATCCACGATATTATTAACAAATCAGACCTAGACAACCCTGTAGAGTTGCGTAATGTTGCTATGTATGTTTTATCTTTTGCCGGTTTCTTTAAGTTTGACGATGTGTCTAGAATTAAAAGAAGTGATATTCCCTTTGAAGAAGGCTTCATGGTTATTAAGGTTTTGAAAAGCATGAATGACCAGCTCCGTAAAGGCGACGAAGTCGTTTATCTCACAATTGTCTAGTTCTGCATGCCCCGTAGTGTTGCTTAAGAGGTATTTAGCTATGTTTAAGATACCCCCTGATTCCAAAGATTTTATTTTCAAGCCCATTTCTAAAGGGAAGGGCTCTTATAAGCTTGTTGCCCCTGATAAGCCAATTAGTTACTCTACTACTAGAGGGACTTTTCGCCGGGACTTGCAAAGTCTCGGAGTTGAACCGTCCAAGTTTGGTTTGCATTCCCTACGATCTGGAGGAGCCACTGTGGAAGCGAATAATGGAGTAAAGCCAAAGGTACAAGCCAAAGATACATACGTAGACAATAATCTTGAACAACGACTCGAAGTAACGCGTTTTCTTGGGCTCTGGGGGCGTTTTCGTGTTCTTTTTAGTGGTATAATATCACCTAACCTCGTGCGTCTTGCCCAATTCTTTGTCAGTCTATATATGCCTCGGGTTGGTTCTCAGCAGGCTTCCCTAAATAAACTTGTTTGGTTTACACTACTGTGTTATTTGTTGTGTAGTGGAGACTAAATATGGTATTTCTGACGATTGAGTCTGCGAATAAGGCAGAAATAAATATTTTGTCGGCACGAGATACGACAAGGCCTGGGCCTTAGCCGAGCATCATGGGTAATGATGCAGTTGTACATAAGGGGGAGTATAGCACGTGGTGTCCATCTAGGCCTCAGAACCAACCGTCCACCTCTGGCTGATGACAAATTTATTTTAGTTTGAAAACTTATTTTCTTTAACTGTGAAGCCTCGTAGGACGGGCTGCCAACTGCTCTGAGTGTGGGCCATGG